GTTAGTATAGTAGGAAAAGGAGGGGCTCCATGTTAAGGCTAAGATTCCATTTTAAAAACCGGGCATTAGGAGGTAAGATTCCTGACATGTTTTGGTGATTAGCCAACAACGGACCCTATCCTAAGGCAGGGTGAGCAGTCCTGACTGGTATGTCCCCACTGCTGAGGGCCACCACCACCTTGGAGGACAGGACCAATAAAAATCTTGTGTTGTTTATCTCACAGAACATCTAGAGGACTGACCAGGGATGGTGACATAGTGTCTGTACAACCAGAGATAGACATCAGGAGACCTCATGTTAGCCTGTGCTCCCCTGGCCCTTTACCCAATTCTTATTTTAAGTGCACTTCTCCTCTGAGGCTGCCTGAAATCCCATGTCTTCAAGTGTGTATTTTGCTTTAAATAAAGCCTTCTTGCTGCTCAATGCAATGTGTTTTGTCTTTGCACTCTTCTAAGCCTGTTGGGAGGTTAATAAGAGACCCCTTTCCTGGTGGTAAGCATCTTTGTTACTTTGCTACTTCATTCAGTTTAATACTCAAGCATATCTTTTGTCCTTGTTTTACTTCAGATAAGTAGGAAGGGCTACTGAGATCTGGAATTTGGGCTTGCAAGTTCCCATCACCTGGTGACCCCGACGGGACTGTGGCTGTATGTATGATCATGCTCTTTAGCAGCCTACCCCAAAACTCTCTCTGCTTTGGGAAGTTCTCTAAACATAATATCACTCCATCCAGTGCTCTGCAGCTCCCCCAAATCCTGGGGTGGTGGGGGCTTAGTTCCCACACCATGCAAATTCAAGTAGACACTGGACATTAGGTGGCCCTGGCTCTAGGAGTTGGAAAGGGACGTGCCCTAAGCTGAGCAGGAGTTCAGTGAGCTTCCCTTTCCTCCTCTGTTCTCCCCTGCTCTGTCTGCATGGCTGCACAAATAAAGGACCCACTTTTCCTGGCTCTGTGCAGCTCTGCTGTTCACTACTATTCTCACTTTAATGAGTTCCTTCCTTACTGATCCTACCTGTTCATGAATTCTTCCCTGAACAAAGCCAAGAGCCCTCCCCCATCTGCGCTGAAGTTTTTCCTAGTATGTAGGGAGAGACTCCCTGTGTGTGAATGCTTGGCAACATCCTTGTTTTGAGGAAAGACAGTGGAGTGTTTCAGGGTGATGTGTAATTGTATCTGAGGCTCTTTGCCAAGTGGCTCTGAAGAAGATAGATGATAATGGGCATGTGCAGATGTATGACAGGTAACAAGTGGAGCACATGTGATGTGATGCTAAGTGTAGGTCTGGGTGATGGAGGTGGAGTTCTTTATACTTGCATGTTTTCTCTAAGTTTGAAATTTAAAAAAATTTTAACAGTCTGTAATTCTATCAAATGGCCAGTTTAAAATGAAGATTTGATTTAAGCTCTTCGATGCTTCTGAAATGTTTCCTGTCTCTGGCATGAGTGCACAGCTCCCCTACATGGCAAACAGCTCTTCATCTCACCTACTTTGCACCCAGGGTCTTCCAGGGTCACCCTGCTGCTCATTCTTCCCAAATTGTGGGAAAGAATCTTCCCAAATTCCCTTTCTTAATGCCTTTCCACCTGTTATTCTCTGTCTGGACTACCCTTCTCCTTTTGTCTTTATGTAAGACTCCTCCTTGTCTTTCAAAACTCAGTTTGTATGTCTCCATCTATGGTCAGTGTTGTGTGATATTCCCTCCTTCAGTTAATCCTGTCTATACCTTATAGACAGCTCAGCTCTCTGTGCATGTGAGAGGGGCCTGGTGTCCTTGGAGATGTCCTATTGGGTAGTATGTTAGAGACCCCAGCTGAAGTCATATATCAAGTCACAGGCCCCACTTCAGTTTTTATCAGTCATGAAGATGTTATTTGCAGGGCCTTGCTGCGTCCTCTGCTCAGGTCTCCAAAGGTGAAATCAGAGATCCTCCTCTGAGATCTTCTCCAAGTTCATCCAGGGGGTTGGCAGAGTCCAGTCCCCTGCAGCTGCAGGACTCCTTTTCCCGGTTTCTGCTGGCTGATGGCCAGGTGCCACCATCAGCATTGTCCACATGGCCCCTCCTGACGTGCCAGTTGGCTTGTTTTCATCCAGGACAACAACAGTGTCTCTGCTGTAATTTTATCCCACCTATTTTCATCTTCCCTAAATCTTTATAACTTAGGTGACAGCCTATAACACAATAATAATAAAATTGTCAGTAACTAAAAGTGAGACAGTGAGGGCTCATTTGCTCTATGCACCACACTAGGTACTTTATATAATCACTCATTTAATTCTCACAATAGCTCTACAGGGTGCAATATCTTAATTAACCCTTTAATTCCATTTTTGTTAATTCCAATTAATCTTTTAATTCCATTTTTACTGAGGAGCTAACTGAAGTCCAACGTAGTAAAAACCCCCAAGCTCACACAGCTAATGAGGGGCTACCAGGATGCGAGCTCCACCTTCAACTGCTTGCCAGGATAGTTAATACTATATGTAGGTTTTGTACCATACCTGCACACATGGACATCAGAGTGACACCAAAATTATATGACTGGGAAAACTACAGAGGCTGGGAAAGGATGGGTTGTTACTGTGAAAAAAAAAAGTTGTTTTTTTTTTGTTTGTTTTTCTTTTTTTTAAGCATTTATTAGTTTGACTCATTCTAGCATGTTATACTCATCAGCACCTGTGCCCATTTAGCAAAGAATTTCAGTAAAAATCACTCTGAATTGAATAGACAACTCTACAAAGCATTACAATTGTTGCAATATTTTTAGAAACTGAAACAAGGAAATAAACAACTTCAGTAAAAGTGATTTAAATAACAAATAACGTATCTTTATAAACAGCCTATTTCCTTGAGAACAAAGAATAAATAAGGAGACAAAGGTTTTTTTTCCTTCCACTATTAAAGCAGATCACTGTCCCGACCTGCAGGACTATCAATGGGGGTCCACGACCTGGAGGAGAGAATTGAAAAATAAAAAAGAATGGGGCAAGGGACACAAAGAACGATGAGCAAGACAGGAGGTCTGATCAAGCTGGCACAGTTTATTGTTTACAGGCTCAATTTATACAAGTAGCAAGTAAGGGGTGGGTCAGGAGATAATTGGACCTTAGGTGGCGCCGGCGGAGAGGTGTAGAAGGGTGATTGGGTCTTGGTTGGCGCTGGCGGGAACGGAGGACCGGGAAGAGAAGCGGGGAGTTCGCTATTTTGGGGGCAGGGGAGGTGTTTCTTGCTTAACAAAGGACAGAAAAGGCACATGCTGTGAGGTAGCCTAACCTCTAACTTTAACTTAGAAATGCAAATGTTGCTAGGTAAATTAACCCCTAGCTCTAACCTAGAAGTTCACTAAATGTGCTTCTTAGTGATAGGGGAAAACTTGTTTCTAATGCGTGGATGGGTTCATTGTTGCTGACTTTACAGGAAAGATTTCTAGCTGATTTTACAGGAAAGATTTTTACTCAAAACGTTGCTGTTGTCATAAGGCTTTTGTGACCGAATCTGCTTAAAGGTCCACAGATTTGCTCCCAACAGATCACAATATGAATGGGTGAAATGTCATGAATAATTGGAGAAAATCACAGAGTAATCTTTGGCAAAGCATCTGATTTATTTAAATTGTCGCTGTTTGTCTTATTAGAACCTTTATTTAACCTTGTTATCCACAATGCAGTATTCAGGCTGGTTTATCAAAAATATTCTTTGAAACTAACCATTTTTTTTTATTCTGACTTTATCAAATGCAAGCTACAGTAATGCAAACTTCCCATGGCAGCTGTTTTACTTGGGACCTAATTAACTGACATTACATTAGACTCAAATGCCCTGTGAAAGCCAGTGTTTTGAATCTAAAACAGTAAATAAATCAAGGCTTTGAAACGTTCTGTCAATAGATTTAAGCTCAGGTTTCTGGTCAAGAGCATCATCAGGCCTTCCCCTCCTAGATTCATCTAAATGCAGCTTCATTCAATATCCTCTGCTCAAAAACCTGACCACAAACCACCAGTCCCTCTTGATTATGGCATTCAAGGCCTCATCCTATGCTTTTTTTTCTAACCATGCTATTTCTTTCTAGTTAAACCCATTTCCTTATTAACTCCAACACAGATTCTTGGAAGTTAAGGGCTTACTATGTGCCTGGCACTTCTAAGTGTTTTATATGTGTTAACTCTTTCAATGCTCCTTGCTCCCCCATAAGGTAGGTCCTGTTATTGTCCTTATTTTACACATGAAGAAATGGAGGACCAGACAGGCAAAGTGACTTTGTTGGGGTCACACAGCTACTAAGGACTTTGCCCATCTCCTTTGCCAAGCCCTGGCTAAAAGGAACTGATTTGCTCACAGTATTGTGTTCAAGTCAGACATGTTTATATAAAATCAAAATTGTAGCCAAGAGATATTTATAATGTAAGAACCTATAAGAATGGTAACATGTAAATCATGCTAATATTATGCAAAATGGGTAGGAGAGATTAGGGAAGGCAGGCAATATGCTGAATGCTGCAGTCTAACATCAACCAAAATGAAGATGTGGCAGGGGGTGAAGGGTGCATTGGTTTGTCATAAAGGATACAACTCAGAAACCACCAAAGGGAAGAGACCAGGCAAGCAAGAGGAAGGATGCACGCGGCTTCCACTCCTCCTGCTGCTGCGGGCTTCCTGCAGGTCAGCAGGTGCACATGAAAGTTCCCACCTTCCTGGTTTTAGGAGCTTGGTGCATGGTGTTGGTGAAGCTGTGGACAAACAGGCTCGTCCATACTTTGCTGAACAGGATATAAACTGGTAAAACTAATAGCAAAAATGTCCACATCCTCAAAAGCTGGAAGTGGCCTAGCCCCCAAGCTCAGAGGAGTTCTGAGATGACTCATTTTGCGTGGTCTCTCAGTGACGAGGAAGGACACACCAAGCTTCGAGCCTCATAGCTTGTATTTTGTGCAGAATGAAGCAAGGTTACCTGTGAACTTTGTGGGGAGTTCAAACGGCTGCACGTAACCCAGTCCCAGGGCATGAGGCATGTCTCATCCTGGCGGACACTCTGCTTAGGAGGCTGGCGGGGCTGCACCGCACCCGCACAAGGCTTCGATGTGACCCCTCTCCCACAGGACACGTGCGCGGTGCCCGAGGCATGTGCTAACGGCTCTCCGGGCGGGTGGCCGCAGGGCTGGCGAGGGGGCACGGGTGGCCAGGCACACCTCCCCCGCCTCGCCCTTCAGCTTCCGTTCCCGCGGCTCTCGAGGTCGCGAAGGCCGCTTCCAGCCTTCTTCCCACCGCGCCGGGCCCAGGAGGACGCCCAGGGCCGGAAGCACCCGCCCGCGGCCCGCAGACCCTCGGCCCGCGGGCCGCGTGCTAACCCGGTGCACTGTGGACGCCGCAGCCTGGCCGACCCTGGGCCCGTGAGGCCGCTGCACCCAGCAGTGTCACGTCTGTTCCGCTGCCTCACCTCCCGTTTTGTTATTTTATCACAACCTGAAATTGTAAGCTAGCTTATAGTCTAATGAGGGAGAAGGACATTAAAAATTTTTAATTCTTGGAATGAGGCTATGGGCAAACTATAACACCCATGTGGTACACACAGGTGAGCAGGGAGGCTGTGTGTGCAGCTGCAGCAGGCTCCAGGGGCAGGAATAGAGTGGAGAAAGGCCAGCAGCTTGCTCCAAGGCCAGCTGCCATGGCGCCAAGCCTCACCATGCCTCCCGCCTGTTCTCTGGGCCCCCACCCCTTCTGCACCTGCAAACCACAGCACTCTCTTCCACTTGTGACCTACCATCACCCAGCCTTACACTGGAATCTTCCTGCCTTGCCCTTCAGAGCCCTTTCTAAGTTAGCCATGTCCTCTTCTAAGCCTCATTTCTTACCACCCTCCACCAATACCATGCTTGCTTGATGCAGAAGCCACTCATTGCTTTGGGCACAGAGCACCTGAAGTGTGGCTCCTCTGAACTGAGGTGTGCTGTAAAGGTAAATACACACTGGATTTTGAAGACAGTATAAAAGGTGTAAGATAAATCAGTATTTTAAAATTGTTATGACAATGATAACTTTGTATGTATTTGGCCAAGTATATTATTAAACTTGGTCTCATCTGTTCTTTTCACATTTTAAAATGTGGCTACTAGACACTTTATAATTACCTGTGTGGACAATGCTGCCATAGAAACAACCCTTACATTTCCCTGAGCTCTCCAGCCCCTCCTCCCACCGTACTTGAACCCATATTTTTTTCCCCTCAAAGTCTCATTTCCCAGATTCCCTGCCTGGTAAATTATTTGTGCTGCAAGATCCCACCGAAAGGAGGTCCTTCCTCTTCTTCATTCCTTCCTTCCTGGCAAATGTCTATGGCTTCTTCACCCAGCATGCTCACATTAGTCAATAGCTGTTTGCATATTTCCCTCTCCCAGCAATCATGAATGACTAGAGGCCCATGGAGTTTACCTAGCATTCTCTCCAGCACTCTGTGAACTGAATAGGTCATCTACTGAATAAAAATGATAGAAGAATATTATAAGATAAAGATAAAATGTTACTGGCAAATGAGTTATTTAGAAAACGATTGTTTAAAGAGGTCTGAGGAAAAATTGTTTTAGCTTCCTCTGTAGCCATTTATGTGGCAAATATGGTAGGGATGGTGAGAAAGAGTAAACAGCATTTGCAAAGCCTGTGAACAGGGTACACATGGGGAGACAGATGCAGGAAGTGATGACATTCCCATGTTGATGACCAGTGCAAGTGGGATCGAGTGGAAACAATGGGCAGTCAAGATGTTGGGCGCTGGACAGGACTTCCAGAGGCAAGGGAGAAGGGTTCAGGGCCAGGCCCAGGCTACCCAGGCTGCTGAGCATGCCTTTTTACCCAATACCATAGCTGGTGACCTTATCCTCTTATTTAACAGTCTGAAGCTTTCCAGTACCAGCTGTTTGCTCAGCTGACAAGAAGTGACACAGCAGTTAGGAGGTGGACCTTGGCATCAGAGCAGCCACCAGCCCAGTGGTGTGGGTGTAGGCGAGTGAGATATGGTTCAGTTCCTCCACTGCTGCAGTTCTTACATAAATCCGAGCTGTCGCTGAGACTACACCTCCTACCTCTCTCTCCCTCTGTTCTTCCTGAGTGCTCATGAGTGCAAATGAAAAAGCACTGATATATCCAAAAACAGGTACAATTAAACATAAAAGGCTTATTAGATCTGCTATTAATTTCTCTAGGCAAGCTGCTGAGCAAAGCGGTCTTTGGCACAAACTAGATGGATCCATGAAACGGTGAACTCAAAAATGCAGTTGTTTGCAAAATAAGTCAGCTTTGTACAGAAAAACATAACGTCAAAAGCACACTGTCACTACCGGCCAGCTGATGTCCTGAGGCGTCGTGCTGCGGCTCTGCTGGGACAGGCGCATGGGAATGGCGCTCCTTCCAGGAGGGCCTGCTCGGGACTGGCCTTCACTGCAGACCTGGAAGGGTAGTTCACAAAATAAGCCTGTGACGCGCGCCTTCGTCTCTGTACAACGACAAGCATTCTTTCAGCACCGTTTCTGCTCAGCGCTGCCGTTCCCGGCCCAACCAGGGGGCGCCGGCGAAAACGGGCGACACGGGCGGGAGGCGACCTGCGAGGACGGCCTCGGACCCGGGCTCCTGAGACCTGCCGCACTGCGCGGGGCCAGGTAGTCGGTCCTGGGTTTGGAGGCGCGGCCACAGGCCAGAGCCCGCCGCTTTCCCGGATCGCGGTCTGAGGGTGGGAGAGTGTGGTCCCCTGTGGAGGTGTGCGGTCCTTGAAGGAAAGAGGGCACCCCGTGGGGCATAAGCAGTGGTCGGTGCAGCTGCCCTGCCTGTGTGCCCACTGCAGCTCTGTACAACGGTGACCGGCCGGCGGGGTCAGTCCAGCTGCTTTCCAGCACCCCGGGCAGCGCCCGAAGCCCAAACCTATCGCGGATCAGAGGGAGACCCAGGGCATGGTTCGCCTCCTTCTGCGCTAGATCCCTTGGGCTGCGCGAAGGCCGGGCGGGTGGTTGCTCTGCGCTCCACTGCTCATGCCTGCGGGTTGCTAGGAGTCGCGAGGCGCAGGCGCGCTGGTGGTGCCGCGGGGTGTGCCAGGCCCGCGGTCTCCGCCCTCTGGGGCTCGCGCCTGCCGGTTGCTAGAAGTCTGGAGTGCGCAGGCGCACTAGGGCGGCCGCGGGGTGTGCCGGCCCGCGGTAGTTTGGCGCTTCGCTGTTCACCCCTGCTGGTTGCTAGGCGTCGGGACGCTAGTCGGATGCCCACGGGCTATGGAGCAGCTAAAGGTGGGTGCGGGGTATCGGCTATGGCTTTCTGGGCGCCTTTTGTGCATTCGGGCCGCGCGGCTGGGCCTGGGAGAGAGCTGTGCACTAGGCTGAGCGCCAGCCGTAGGCCGGCCAAAAGTCAAGGAATGCCATCTGCGTCCATTCCATCGTGCCTTCCCTCCTCGCTGTCGTTCGGGCTTTCACGTTACTCCCGTTTACGGTGCCGAGCTGCATCCTTGTGCCAGATGCACGACACTGCTGGACCGGCGCCCCGGCGCTGCTTCGAGAAGCACTCGGTCCTTTCATCCCCTGCAACTCTAGAAACTGCGTTTGCTGGGGTGGTTGGCGGCGGGGCTACTAAAACAAGCCCCCCGGGGTTGTGGTCATCGGGGCAGCGTCGCCGCAGAACCTGCCGCGGGACCGGGGGCCGCCCCTCCTTCAGCGCCCACGAGCGGCCCTGGAGAGTTGAGCGATCGTGCTTCTCAAGGGGCCTTTGACTTTCCAGTGCTTTGTCTACTTTTGGCAAAAAATAACATAGACTTTTTAAAAACCTTATCACATATCTGGCCTATCACTAGTCGTGTTATCTGTTCAATGAAATTTGCTTAAAAAGTTCATCTCAGAGTTCGCTTTCTCTTGTGGTCAGGACCTAGAAGCTGTATTCAGACCTAGGAGCTGTCATCTGCGATTTCTTTTCTTTGCACATCTGGGTGAGATCTGCAGTTCCCTGGATCCAGTGTCCTCTTCTTTCTTGAAAACCCGCTTTTTTCTCCCTGGAGAAAATCCTCAAATACCTTTTTCAACAATGGTATGTAGGAAGGAACTACTCTAAGAAAGTATTGTACTGATACACTTGCGTGAGAGTTGGCTCAGCATAGAATTCTCTAATCAGAACAATTTCTCCAGGACTTGGAAAGCATTCTAGTTCTGTTTCCTGGTGGCCTTTGTAAGTGACATAATCTTTATTTCCAGAAGATTTAGGGTCTACCCTTGTTGTTCTGAACATATATGGCAGTGTGTCTGTTGTGGGTCCTTTTTCGTTCATTATTTTGACATTTGATCATCCCGTTCAAAATGAAAATGGGTCTACCTTCACTGCTAGGACATCTTTTTCTAATCCATATTTCCTTCTTTTTTTTAGTCTATATACAGTCTTGCATTAGTTTCAAGTATACAGCACAGTGGTTCGACAGTTACCCATATTAAATACTCACCTCCACTAGTACAGCTACTATCTGTTGACATAGGAAGGTGTTACAGAATCACTGACTGTATTCTCCATGCTGTAATACCATCCCTGTAACCAACAGACATTATGATTGAGTCTTTTATCTCCCCATGCTGTACTACCGTCCCTGTAACCAACCTACATTATGATTGAGTCTTTATCTCCCTCACCCTCTCCACCCACCCATCCAAACCCTTCTCCCATGACAACCAGTCCCTTTTCAGAGTCTATCATTCTACTGCTGTTATGTTTGTTCTGTTTGGGTTTGTATTTATATTCCACAAATAGGTAAAATCATATGGTATTTGTCTTTCTCTACCTGACTTATTTCACCGAGCATGGTACCGTCTAGATCCATCCATGTTGCAAATGGCAGGATTTCTTTTCTTTTTATGGCTGAATAATATTCCATTGTGTGTATGTACAGTATCTTCTTTTCTTAAATTTTTATTAAGGTATGATTGATATATACTCTTATGAAGGTTTCACATGAAAAAACAATGTGGTTACTACATTTACCCACATTATCAAGTCCCCATGCATACCCCAGTGCAGTCATTGTCCATCAGTGTAGTAAGATGCCACAGATCCACTATATGCTTTCTCTGTGCTACACTGTTCTCCCGTGATCCTTACTGGTGGGGGTGATATCTCATTGTGGTTTTAATTTGCATTTCTCTGATGACAAGTGATGTGGAGCATCTTTTCATGTGTCTGTTGGCCATCTGAATTTCTTCTTTAGAGAACTGACTTTTAAGCTCCTCTGCCCATTGTTTAATCATATTAATTGCTTTTTGTTTGTTGAGGTGTGTGAGCTCTTCATATATTTTGGATGTCAGCCATTTATTGGATCTGTCATTTATGAATATATTTTCCCATACTGTAGGATAACTTTTTGTTCTGTTGATGGTGTCCTTTGCTGTACAGAAGCTTTTAGCTTGATGTAGTTCCACTTGTTCATTTTTGCATTTGTTTCCCTTGCCTGGGGAGATAATGTTTATGAAGAAGTCACTCATGTATATGTCCATGAGATTTTTGCCCATGTTAACCCCTTGTTGGATATGCCATTTACAAATATATTCTCCCAGACTGTAGGATGCCTTTTTGTTCTGTTGATGATGTCCTTTGCAGTACAGAAACTTTTTAGTTTGATGTAGTCCCATGAGTTCATTTTTTATTTTGTTTCCCTTGCCTTAGGAGATTGGTTCAGGAAGAAGTTGCCATGCTTATATTCAGGAAATTTTTCCCATATTGTCTTCTAAGAGTTTTATGGTTTCATGACTTATATTCAGATCTTTAATCCATTTTGAGTTTAGTTTTGTGTATGGGGTTAGACAATAATCCAATTTCATTCCCTTGCATGTAGCTGTCCAGTTTTGCCAACACCATCTGTTGAAGAGGCTGTAATTTCCCCATTGTATGTCCATTGGCTCCTTTATCATATATTGATAGACTGCTTATGGTTGGGTTTATGTCTGGGCTTTCTAGTGTGTTCCATTGGTCTATGGGTCTGTTCTTGTGCCAGTACCAAATTGTCTTGATTACTGTGGCTTTGTACTAGAGCTTGAAGTTGAGGAGCATAATTCCCCCAGCTTTATTCTTCCTTCTCAGGATTGCTTTGGCTTTTTGGGGTATTTTGTGGTTCTATATGAATTTTAGAATGATTTTCTCTAGTTTGTTGAAGAATGCTATTGGTATTTTGATAGGAATTGCATTAAATCTGTAGATTGCTTTAGGCAGGAATGCCTAATGCCAAAGTAGGCTTTGCCAGTTTGCGAGCCAGTGGGGCTGGCCAGGGAAAGGCACGGTAGGCTGTGTATCACAGAGGGGGTCCTTGGAGCTGTGTAGCCAGCCAGGGAGCTGAGCGCCTGAAGATAGTCAAAGCTCCCAACCTGCTGGGCAGAGTGCACCTGGACGGTTTGTCTACCTGTACTTTCCTGAGCAGTGAGCTCTGTGCAGTCCTTGCCCCTTTAGCAGCCCTCTTGCTGTTAGGAAGTCTCTCAGACTGCTTGCCTTTCTTTTGTCCCAGAGCAGCCAGATATGGATCTCTGCTTTCCACAAGCTGCTGGAATCTCATTCTCTCCAGGAATTCCGCTTCTCTTAGCTTTCCAATCCCCTAATCATGAGAGTACCATGCAAGCACCATGAAACGTAGGCTTGACAGATCTCCAGAGTTAGGTGTTCTGCAATTCCAGGCCTCCCCTCCCTCCCTACTCAGTTCTCATCCTCCCTGCCCATGAACTGGGGTGGGGGAAGGGCTTGGATCCCACTGGGCTATGGCTTTGGTATGCTACCTTGTTCCATGAGGTCTGCTCTTTTCTTCAGGTGTATTCAATCTGACGCAGTCCTCTTTCCTGTTGCTCTTTCAGGATTAGTTGTATTGTATTTTCATATTACATATGGTTTTAGGAGGAAGCCTCTGTCTCACCTCACACACCACTATCTTTAATCCTCTCTGTGTGGCCATTTCTTTTTCTTTGTTTTTTTGGCCATTTCTTAAAGAAAGACAGCAGTGCAGTTTGCCATATTTATGGACCCTTCCTTTTACAAACCATTCCTCTGTTCCATGTGAGATGCTGTTTGATGGCACTATTCGCAATGTACAACATCTTCCAAATTAGAGCCAGTCCTCTCAAAACCGGCTGCTGATTTTTTTTATGTTTATAAACTATTCTAAAGTTTATGTAATATTCTAAATCCTGTGCTGTGATTTCAACAATCTTTGCAGCACCTTCAGAAGGAGCAGATTCCATCTCAAGAAACCACTCTCTCTGTGAGAAGCAGCTCCTCATCCCTTCAGGTCTGATCGTGAGATGCAGCAGTTCAGCTGCATCCTTAGGCTCCATTTTTAACCCTGGTTCTCCTGCTATCACATGTCATGTGTGGTTACTTCCTTGTGGCCTTGAATCCCCAAAGTCACCTATAGGGGTTGGAATCAATGTCTACACTCCTGTGAATGTTGCTATTTTAACCTCTTCCCATGAATCATGAATGTTCCTGATGGCACCTAAAGTGGAGAATCCTTCCCGAAGGCTTTCAATGGACTCTGCCCCAAGCCACCAGAGGAATCACTCCAGGGCAGCTATAGCCGTATGAAAAAATGACTCCTTGGCCCACAGGCTGCAGAATGGATGCTGTGTGAGCAGCCCGAAAACAGCATTCATCTCGCTGCCCATCTCCACCGGAGCTCTTGGGGGACCAGGTGCTCTGTCAATGAGCAGTAATATTTTGAAAGGAATCATTTTTCCTGAACTGTAGGTCTTACTGGTGGGCTTAAAATATTTAGTAAACCATCTTGTAGACACACGTGTGGTCATCCAGGCTGTGTTGTTGCATTTAGAGAGCACAGGCAGAGTGGATTCAGCATAATTCCTAAGGGCCCTAGGGTTTTCAGTGGTCAGTGAGCCCTGGCTTCCACTTAAAATCACCAGCTGCGTTAGACCCTGATGAGAGTCGGCCTGTCCTCTGAAGCTCTGAAGCCAGGCACTGACTTTCTTCTTCAGCTATGAAAGGCCTAGATGGCATCTTCCAACAGAAGGCCATTTCATCTACACTGGAAATCAGGGTTGTTCAGTGTAGCCACCTTCAATTTTCACAGCTGGATCTTCTGGGTGACCTGCTGTGCTGCAGCTTCTCCTTCAGCCCCTGCTGCTCCACCTGCATGTTGACATTATGGAGATGGTTTCCTTGCTTAAACTTCATGAACCTCTGCTAGCTTCAGGCTTTGCTTCCACAGCCGCCTCCACTCTGCCAGGCCTCATTGCACTGAGGAGAGTCAGAGCCTTGCTCTGGATGAGGCTTTGGCTTAACGGACTGTGGTGGTGGTTTGACCTTCTAGCCAGACCACTCAAACCTCCTCCATGTCAGCAACAAGGCTGCTTCACTTTCTTGTCACCCATGTGTCCCCTGGAGTAGCACTTTTAAGTTCCTCTAAGAACTTTTCCTTTGCATCACCACTTGGCTGACTGGTGCAAGAGGCTTCACTCTGGGCCTGTCTTGGCTTTTAACATGCCTTCCTCACTAAGCTTGATCATTTCTAGCAAAAGCTAGATTGAAAGGGAGAGTCGTATAGCTGTTCCCTTCACTTAGACACTTAGAGGCCACTGGACTAATTTCAATTTTGTTTGTTGTGTGTCAGGGAATAGGGAGGCCCGAGAGGAGGGAGAGAAAATTCCTTACCAAAACAGCTTTAGTTTTCCTCTACAAGAGGTTTCTATTTTCACAGCAAAGATGACCCTTCATGCTTTTTTCTAAATAGGTTTTTTTCTACCCCTACAAATGCTTATTTTCTCCAATGTACAGGCCCTAATGGGAAGCTACAGTAGTAATACTCATTTGGGAGAAGGTGGGCAACAGTGTGGAGGGCATCTGCCAGCTGTTTTACCCCAAAGGGGAGGGTTGGGTTTTGGGATGAAGCAGGGCTTTGTGAAGGGAAAAGTTTAGTAGGAACCTTCCTGGTGATGTCCTGATGCTGTGAATGTCCTCTGGATGGTCAGGATGTAGATGGAGGCCTGAGCGTCCATTAGACAGTCCTGCCTCGGAGTGTCCCTAGAATGTAAAGAGCAAGCATCTCACGTGCCACTGTCCCGCCGCAGAGGCCCTCTTCCAAAACTCCAGAGCCGGCATCTTGCAGGAGCCCTTTGTGGACGAGGCATGCAGTGAGGCAGCTGGCTGGACAACATGCTGAGTACAGTTGTCAAGAGTCAGTAAGTCATGTGTGTATGTTTTTCCCTTAGGTCCATTTTCCAGACACTGAAAGAGCAGGGTGGCTAAATAAGGTAAGAATGGAAGATACTAAATACCAGATTTCAGTGGGAATTAGAAATTGGGATTCTCCCCATATCTAGGAATTTGGATGCTGACATGATGTGAACTTGTTTGAACTCAGCAGGTGGCTTCTGCTCCCAAAAGACTCAGTTATAACTGATAACTACTCTCCTTTCTAAGCAGTGAAACTATCTTTGCCATGGGAAAATTAATGATATATTCATGACTGTGTCTTTGGTCTTATGGCTTCTTTCCTGTGGCTAATGCTCAGATCTGTTTTTTAATAACTATAAGTGAAAATTCTGGAAATATTTTGAAGAAGGAAATGACTCCCAAGAAGCCTACTTATATATAATAATCATTTATTTATTTTAAAAGATTTATTTTTAGATCGATACACTGAAGTAGATCTCTTTTATCTCTATATTTTATGTACCCTTAAAGCTATATAGTAAGAACTAATGTAGGCAATGATTACCTTACAGGATTGGAAGTGAGTCCATAATTAAAGAAAACCCAGGATTTATTAAGATCTATATGGTTTTAGAAGATACTTAGCAATGCATTGAAACTACAGGATTTTCTTATTTTCAGCAATCATTTAATGTGTTGATATGCTTAAACAGAATGTTTAACCAGAATATTTACTACCTGTAACATACTAATTAATAGTTTACTATTTTAATACATTTTAGAATTTTATATTGTGTTGATTTGCATAAGAAATAGACCCCCTTTTATTTCCAAAAATTTTGATAGGCTTCAGGATCATAATTTTTCATGGTGACTTAAGTATATTATGTATTGTAACATTTTGTTTAATGTGAGTTCTCCTTTTCAGACTGTAGAACACATGTGGCCTTTCATTTGCTAGTTCATAGAGAAGTTGTTTCGAGAAACCATAGAGCCAGCTGTGTGGGGAGCACACACCCACCTCAGCACCTTCAGTTTCTCCAAAGTTGACATGGGTCAACAGGTTAGTTTATCCTGAAGGGTGTTTGTGCACATGGTGGCAGTGCTGTGAGACCTCAGAGTACAGGCTCTTCAGATCATTTTCCAGTAAAAGCTGTCCCCAGGAAGGTCTGATGGGTGTCTCTGAGGCTGCCCCAGGTGCTGTCTCCTGCAGGCCCCCTCACACATCAGCAGTCTTCCGCGTTCCCCTCTCAGCCCTGTGGTCTAGGGCCAGGATGGCCCCTGGGCAGATACCTGAGCTTGCCGCACATTCTCTGTGAAAACCCTCTGCAGTTGTCCGCAGTGCACTCTGTTGCAAGGGGGGGTTGATGTTGACATTTGAAGTCCCACTGGAAGGTCAGTGGTTGATGATGAGCTCAAGGTGCTCACCCCTCAAGACACTTAAAAACAGTAGCTGTGGCTCCAATGCGAGGCTCGTAAGCATGGCTCTGATGTAACAGGTAAGGGGAAAGAGGGGTTTTGATACTGGAATCATATTCTGTGCAGAGGAAAGCTGGCACTATTCCTCATGTGTTCCACAGAGTCTGTAGTGTGTGAGCTGGGATTCTTGGAAAAGCCATGCACCTGGCAGAGCAGAAGATGGAGACCCTCAGAGACATAGAGTTTAACTTACCACTGGTTGAGGGGTAAGATTGCAGGACACCCAGGCTGTTGGAGTCATCTCTAACGGTGAGATATCTCTTCTAAACTCAGTTATTAATATTCCATGTGGTGTTGATAACTTGCTCAGGAGGGTTCTCCACCTAACAAATGGGAAAGGTTTGAAATAGTGTTGTACCTGGACCCTTGAGATACAGCAGTTAATGTGATCTGCCTTTTATTTTCAGGGTCACTTGATTCTGGCTCTCTGTCATGTATTAGCTGTTGAAGTAATAGCTATAGCTACTACTTTTGATTTACTCAAAATCCTCCATTTTTTTGTTAAAATCTTAAGAAATGAAAAATTACAAGACAGAAAAAAATGGAAAGGGAGTTACATTACAAGGATTTGTCAGGAAAGGATCAAAGCAAACAGGAAGAGACAAGGGGCAGCGGGCTCGGCCAAGAGCAGATGCCCCTGTGCTCACTGCTGCCAAGCCCTCACCGCATATGGCATGTTTCTCATGTCCTTTGGTGTCACATAAGTTATGAGATAGATGCCACTTTATCCACACTTCCCAGAAGAACGGAGGTTAAATAACTTGCCAGAGTGAAATAGCTGTGTGGAGAGAGCAGAAGTTCAGTGCCCACAGTCAGGTGCTGAAGCTTTCTCTCTTCATCTCTTTGCCCTGTTGCAAAGTTTATTTTCCCTTCACCCTTCCTGCAATTTAAAATGTGCTGCTTCTTGTTTCAGCCCCTCAGGATCAATGGTGTTAAGGTATATACTGAAAATGTGGACAAAAGGCAAATTATTTTGGACCTCCAGATTAGGTAAGTTTTTATTTGTGTTACATTTGTAACATAATGTGTCATAATTAATGATGTATGATGTCAATTAGCCAAACCCATAGGGTGGAGGATATAATGAGCACACTTCTTACCATTGCTTGATGGAATTTGACTAAATTCTTGTTGAGGGCCCCAATTTATTGACTTTCTGTGTCACAGTTCCCAGTAGCTTAGATACTGCCATTTATAAAATATCTTAAATAAAAGAAATTAAAGGTAGCCCAACAAAAGTAAACTACAGACCCATATTACTCATGAATATAGATGACAAAAACTTCAACAAAAATACCAACATTAAGCAGACCAACATTAAATAACATAGTAAAAGGACCCTGCACCAAAGCAAGTGGAATTTACTCCAGGGATACAAGGATGGTTCAACATTGGAGGGGTAAGGAGTATGATACAGCACATCAACAGAATGAAGGGCGAAAACCACATGGTCATCTCAGTTGATGCAGAAAAAGCATTTAACAAAATTCACCTTTCTTGATAAAAACACTCAGCAAATTAGGAATAGAGGAAAACTACTGTCACATAATAAAGGCATGTATGAGAAACCCACAGTGAACATCACATTCAGCAGCGAGGCCTGAAATCTTCCCTCTAAGATCAGGAGCATGGCAGTATGCCTGCCCTCACCACTTCTGTTCCGTGTGGCCCTGGAAGGCCTTGCCAGAGAGGCCAGAGAGTTAGGTAAGAAGAGCACAAAGCATCATACTGGAAAGGAAGGAGTGACATGGTTTCTATGCACAGATGTGATCTTACACATGGGAAACCCTGAAGGCTTCACAAAGACCTGTTAGAACTAATAAATTAATTTGGCAAAGCAGTGGGCTACAAAGTCACATGCAAAAATCAGTTAACATTCTATGCTCTGATAATGAACAATCCAAAAAGGAAATGAAGAAAGCCGTTCTTTTCACAAGAACATCAAAAGGACAAAATACTAAAAATTAACTTAACCAAGGTGGTGAAAAGTACAAAACACTGCCATGAGAAATGAAAGACATAAATAAATGGAAACACATCCCAATGTCATGGTTTCAAAGACTTAATTTTGTTACATCAATACTAAAAGTAAACTACAGAATCAATGCAATTCATATAATCAAATATCTGATAAGTGACTGATACCCAGAATATATATCCTACATCCCCACAACCGCAAAACTAGTGACCCAATTCAAAGACGGGCAGAGCACTTACACAGGCATTTCCCCGACAGCCAACAGGCATGTAGAAAGATGCTCAGTTTCACTTATCAGCAGGGAAATGAAATCAAACCACAGTGATAAACCACCTCACCCCCATGAGGACGGCTACTTCTGAAAGAACAGAAAGCAAGTGCTAGCAAGGATGTGGAGGGATCAGAGCCCTTGCAGGAATGTAACCTGATGCAGCTGCTAAGGAAACAGAATAGTGGCTCCTCAAAAAATTTTTAAGAATTACCATATGACCCAGCAATTCTACATTGGGGGTGTGTACCCAAAATACCAAAAGCAAGGTCTCAGAGATGTGGACACCCATGTTCATAGCAGCAGTATTCACAAGAGCTAAGATGTGGAAGCAACAAGTAGCCACTGGCATGTCAACAAGGTGGCTATGTGAGATGTGCACATGTGCAGCAGAACTATTCAGTTTAAAAAGAAGGCAATCCTGTAACCTAGAAGAAATGGACAACTTTCTAGAAAAATACAACCTTCCAAGGCTGACCCAGGAAGAAACAGAAAATCTAAATAGACCAATTACCAGCAATGAAATTGAATTGGTAATAAAAAAACTACCTAAGAACAAAACCCCTGGACCAGATGGTTTCACTGCTGATTTTTATCAAACATTTAGTGAAGACATAATGCCCATATTCCTTAAAGTTTTCCAAAAAATAGAAGAGGAGGAAATACCCCCAAAGTCATTCTACAAGGCCAGCATTACTCTACTACAAAAAACAGGCAGATATCACGAAAAAAAAAAAATTACAGACCAATATCCATGATGAAAATAGATGCAGAAATACTCAACAAAATATTAGCAAACTGAATTCAAAAATACATCACAAAAGATCATCCATCATGATCAAGTAGGATTTATTCCAGGGATGCAAGGATGGTACAACATTAAAAAATCCATCAACATCATCCACCACATCAAAAAAAAGGACAAGAACCACATGATCATCTCCATAGATGCTGAAAAAGTATTCAACAAAATTAAACATCCATTCATGATAAAAACTCTCAACAAAATGGGTATAGAGGGCAAGAACCACAACATAATAAAGGCCATGTATGACAAACCCACAGCCAACATCATACTTAACAGTGAGAAGCTGAAAGCTTTTCCTTTAAGATCAGGAATAAGACAGGGATGCCCACTCCCTCCACTTTCATTCAACATAGTTCTGAAGGTCCTAGTCACAGCAATTAGACCACACAAAGAAATAAAAGGCATCCAGATTGGTAAGGAAGAAGTCAAACTGTCCCTGTTTGCAGATGACATGATACTGTACATAAAAAAACCCTAAAAAAATCCACTCCAGAACTACCAGATGTAATATCTGAATTCAGAAAAGTTGCAAGATACAAAATTAATACACAGAAATCTGTTGCATTGCTAAACACTAACGATACTAGTACAAAGAGAAATCAGGAAAACAATTCCATTCACAATTGCATCAAAAAGAATAAAATACCTAGGAGTAAACCTAATCAAGGAAGTCAACGACCTATACTCTGAAAACTACAAGATACTCATGAGAGAAATTAAAGAAGATACCAATAAATGGAAACACATCCCATGCTCATGTATAGGAAGAATTAATATTGTCAAAGTGGCCATCCTGCCTAAAGCAATCTACAGATTCAGTGCAATCCCTATCAAAATACCAACAGCATTCTTCAATGAACTAGAGCAAATAGTTCTAGAATTCATATGGAACCACAAAGGACCCTAAATAGCCAAAGCAATCCTGAGAAGAAAGAAATAAAGCTGGGATTATGCTTCCTGACTTCAAGCTCTACTACAAAGCCACAGTACTCAAGACAACTTGGTATTGGCACAAGAACAGAAAAACAGACCAATGGAACAGACTAGAGATCCCAGATATAAACCCAAGCATATATGGTCAGTTAATATACAATAAAGGAGCCATGGACATACAATGGGGAAATGACAGCCTCTTCAACAGCTAGTGTTGGCAAAACTGGACAGCTAAGTGTAAGAGAGGGAAACTGGATTATTGTCTAACCCCATACACAAAAGTAAACTCAAAATAGATCAAAGATCTGAATGTAAGTCATGAAACCATAAAACTCTTACAAGACAACATAGGCAGAAATCTCCTAAATATTAACATGAGCATCTTTTTCCTTAACTTGTCTCGTTGGGCAAGGGAAACAAAAGCAAAAATGAACACATGGGACTACATCATGTTAAAAAGTTTCTGTACAGCAAAGGACACCATCAGTAGAACAAAAAGGCATCCTACAATGTGAGAGAATATATTTGTAAATGACATATCCAATAAGGGGTTAACATACAGAATACGTAAAGAACTTACATGCCTCAACAACCAAAAAGTAAATAACTCAATTAAAAAACGGGCCGAGGATATGAACAGACATTTCTCCAAAGAAATTCAGATGGCCAACAGGCACATGAAAAGATGCTTCACATCACTAATTATCAGGGAAATGCAAATTAAAACTGCAATGAGATATCACCTTACACCAGTTTGGATGGCCAATATCGAAAAGACTAAGAACAACAAATGCTGGTGAGGATGTGGAGAAAAGGGAACCCTTCTACACTACCGATGGGAATGTAAGCTAGTTCAACCATTGTGGAAAGCAATATGGAGGTTCCTCAAAAAACTAAAAATAGAAATACCATTTGACCCAGGAATTCCACTCCTAGGAATTTTCCCAAAGAATACAAGTTCTCAGATTCAAAAAGATACATGTACCCCTATGTTTATTGCAGCAGTGTTTACAATAGCTAAGATATGGAAGCAACCTAAGTGTCCATCAGTAGATGAATGGATAAAGAAGGGGTGGTACATATATTCAATGGAATACTATTCAGTTATAAGAAAGAAACAAATCCTACCATTTGCAACAACATGGATGGAGCTGGAGGGTATTATGCTCAGTGAAGTAAGCCAGGCAGAGAAAGACAAGCACTAAATGATTTCCCTCATTTGTAGACTGTAACAACAAAGCAACACTGAAGGAACAAAACAACAGCAGACTCAGAGACTCCAAGAAGGGACTAGTGGTTACCAAAGGGGAGGGGGTGTGGAAGGGTGGGTGGGGAGGGAGGGAGAAGGGGACTGATGGGTATTATGATTAGTAAATGTGGTGGGGGGGGTAATGTAGAAGACAGTGTAGTACAGAGAAGACTAGTGACTCGTGGCATCTTACTACACTGAGTCAGTGACTACAGTGGGGATGTTGGGGGGACCCCATAATATGGGTGAATGAAGTAACCACATTGTTTTTCATGTGAAACTTCATAAAGTATATATCAATAATAAAAGTAATAATATTAATAAATAAAAATAAAATAAAATAAATAAATAAAAAGATTTCATGAAAACAGTAAAAGAAAGAGAAGGCACTCCTGTCACTTGCTTCCACATGGAGGAAACTTGAGCACATGACACTAAGTGAAACAAGGCTGTCACAAGAGCACAAATTCTATCTGATTCGACCCATAAAGTCTCTCTTGGAGTCAGATTCATGGAGAGCAGATGGTGGGGGGTGGGTTGCTATTTAGTGGGTACAGTTTCAGTTTTGGGAGGTGGAACGTGTCCTTGATGGGGGGATGGCTGCACAATGGAGTGCATGCACTTCATCCCACTGGGCTGTACACTGGGCTGCTACACTATCTTCCCCATTACCCCAGTCTCACTGATAAAGAGGAAAGCTTCGGGATCATTTTGTAACAGGCTGTCACTGGTGACATTGCCAACTGGATGATTCTCATTGAGAAGGATTTATAGGTGCTGGCTTCAAGGCCAGGAGAGTAAATGTCTTACCCCAGATGCCTTTTGGTACTTTGCTATGTGCTGAGATGCTCTATCCAGCATTTATAAACTGTTCCCAGACATTCTCAGACAGGAGTGCGGCACCTGCCTCTGGAGTCAAGGGTCGGAATCAGATCATACAGATCCACAGAGAATGTAGGTGGCGTTTCCTGTTTGTATTGTATGTAGATGCAAACCGTGCCTTTCACATCACCCTGAGTTCATGTTCATTCCATGTCAGCGATTGAAATGACCGAGTCTTCAAGTGAAATTGCTGCCCGGACAGTGTTCCTCACTTTGACGCCGCAGACCCTGGAGCACTGCTGGTTTTCTCACAACTGGGGATGTGGTGCAGAACTTACTTGTAAAGTAAGTCTAAAATCTGTACATTTTAAACAAGCATGGTTGTTTATAAAGAAAATGAAAGCTACGTCGTGTCAAGAGGCTGCTCCAGAAGCTGCACTCGGAGTGATGTGATGGTGGGCCTGGCGGCACTGCTGCCCGCAGCCAGCTGGGAATACTCTGGCACACAGGCCCCAGGCTGCAGCTTTGCCGACAGCTGCGTTTGGTTGCTTTCCTTTCATTTTACTCATATTATATATCCTGCCTTGCAGGTCTGTGGTGATTAAGAGAATTAATTCAGAAATTTTTCTTTGCTAGTTTTGTAGGAAATTGTGAGATTGATTTGGAGATCAACCGGTATTTTTGTAGAGCTGGTGTGCAAAGCATACAGGTAAGAGTTTTTGAATTTCATTCTTCTAAAATCTCTCTATGCTCTGTTTAAGAAGAAATCTGTGATGTTTTTATTAACTCAATTTCTTTGAATTTGAGTTTTTATTTGTAGGTTATACTTGAGAGAAACCTGAAGTCAAATGCTCAGAAGTTGCTAAGACAGTCATGCATCTGCATCAGCAAGTGGCCTGTGGAGTTGTTTTCTATAACATGTTTTGGTTTCCTGTTTGAATTCAGATTCATGGTACCATGTGGGTGATCCTGGAACCATTGATTGGATACATGCCCTTGGTGGGAACTTTGTCCATCTTCTTCCTTAGGAAGCCAGTAAGTCAACATTTACTTCATCCTTATCTTCTGATTCCCTGACAACAATATGTACATCTCAGAGTATATTAGGTGGAGAACAGAGTTCTGTCCTTAATGCACTTCTTCCCTGATGCATGAGTCCTGTGGCTGTTTTCATTCCTCTCTGTGTGTTGATTGAGGGCCTTGCTCTTTAGATGGACAATATTTTGATGATTATAAAAATAATTTTTGTCACAGAACTGTTCTCTCAGAGTCTAATTTGTCAGTAAGTTGGGCGTGCAACTAGACCCACCCAGCCAGACACAGGTACCATTCTCATCCTCACCACCAGGCTCCTGAAGCCCTTCCCACAGACCACGGTGGCCCCATTTTGCATTGCCACCATTTGTGGTGTGTTTAATGAACTACAAAGACAGAATACTGTTCTTAAAAGTTTTAAAAGTCATAAGGATTTTTTGACTGAGTTATAACACTTCGCTAAACATAATGTTATTTCACATTGTTAAATACATGTTCCTCCATTTTTTGTTATAAGTGCTCATCACTCATTATTAGCCACAAAAATGAGACAACAAAAATGTCACACCTGCCTAAACTCACCCTCGCCAAGAGTCTCCCCTCCCCTGGGTGGCTCCTTACCAGCGAGGCTGCTCCTCACCTGAGCTCCTGCAGCCTCTGATGGGCTTCCTGCCTTGGCTCTGTTCTTGTAGACATCACCACTTGGGCGACTTCCTGAGGCCAGACTGGCCCACTAGGGGCCCTCTCTAACTTACAGACAGTCACTGTAGTCCAGATGGGGTCCCTCTTGCCAGCATTACCCCATGTTCCAAGCCCTGGGAGAATTACAGCCCAACAGTGGTGCCAGCCCCATCTCCCCTCACCTCTGCCTTCTCCGGAGGGCTGTCCCAGGAATTTACGCTGCCTTTCCCAGCTGGCCAGCTTTCTCCTTGTTCACTGAACCAGGAGTCCTTGCATGGTGGCACATTTGGCATTAACTCTTCTGAGAGCCATGACATGTCTTCATGTAGTTCAGAATCTGTTTCTCAAACATCTCTTCACAATATTCCACTTTTCTAACCTTTGATGAGTCCTTTCTGGAGGCAACATTAACATCATGTAGTTAAAATGGGGTGTTAATTTGTATAATTTGATTCAAATAACAATTCAAATTATTTTTGGGTTTTTAAATATGGGTTTATTTTGACCACAGGTTAGTAATTTTTCTATATAATAACACAAGAATTATGTCACCACTTTGTTACCACTGAAATCATTATTCTCACTTGCTTTCAGTTATTTAATTCTGAATGTATTGTAACTACAAAGCATGTTAAAATTCAAAAGCTATTAAGAAACCTCTCTGTTTAATTTATTAAAACTTTGAGAAATGAAGAGATCCATAAAATATTTAGCATGCCAATTGTTTAAAAGTCAATATGTTTAAAACATTTCCTTTATTAATGAGTATGAAAAACTAATCTTTAGCAAATTGCCAAGTCTTTTTAATTTACAAAGAATTTTTAACAGTTTAAACATTTTTTTTCTTTCAGTTCAGAATGTAACAAAATCCAAATCTTTAACTGCCTCAAAATTTAGTAATGATTTTACTTATTTGGCTCTTCCATAGGTGTATTTACTTTAAAAGTTACACTGTAATGTTAACATCCAAATGAAATATTACTTTCAGAAAAGGAAGATGGTTCTGTGCAAAGTTCAGAATCATTCATTTCCTTATATGGGAGTAAAGTCACTAAACTTGTGCTTTGGACAGAAGCAAAATTTTTTCAGCTGCTTTCAGCTGGAAAATATGAGAACAGAATTCACTGCTGGCTGCCAAGTTATTCTTCACCCACTGGAAAATATAGCTGGAAAGACTTGGGGGTTTCTTGGCTATCCAGATGATTTAGAATATATGAAACCTTAATTCATTTCCCTGCTTTCTGATTTGTTTAGATTCATTTTGATAATATGTTACTAAAAACCTACAAATTTCTGGAGCAATGAGCCCAGTAGGATGGTTAAGTGACAAACTGAAGAGACTTGTGACCTGGTTCCCACCTCAGTTCTTTCTTTCTCTTCTTACTGTGTGCTTTGAACAACTTAGTTAATTTCTCCAAGCCTCAGTTTCCACATCTGTGAATGGGGGTTACAGCAGGACCTACCTCACAAAAGTGGGTATAAGGCAGGCAGTAGAGTGCCTGGCACATAGCAGGGCCTCAGATTTTTAGGAAATCAAATATTTGCTTACATGTAGATTTAGCATTCTGGTGAGGTCCTGACATCAGAAGTCAAGTCCTGGCAAGCGTAAAAGCTTGGAAGAAGGTTCCAGTAAGGACCAGGACAAAAGCTTGGGTGAAGGTTCTGGGAAGAGCCAGAACAAGCCAGCGTGTGCCCTTGTCCATGTCCCAGCTGCTTGTGTGTGCTGACTTGTAGCTTGGGAGTGACCTCTCACATCCCTTGGGGTGCCAGGTTGGAGGTTGTGTTGGTTCTGTCCCTCATGCTGAGTAAACCAGTGAGTCCAGGAGGCTGTCCCCAGGAGAGGAGAGGTCTGAGGCTTGCTCCACATGTGTGTATCTCAGGGGTCCTTCCAGCCAGCTCCCTGAGACATGGATTGCATTTCTCCATCTGTAAGGTAGAAATGACATCTTCCGTTCAGAGGGATGGTGAGGACGTAAGTCCTGTTATCTAGGACTGCTGCTATGAGGTACCTGAGGCAAAGGAGGGACTTTATAAAAATGAAAGCAGATATTGGTGTTTATGATGCCTATGGAGTTCAGAATTTGAAAGCACTTTGACAGTCTCTCATGCTCTCCCACTGTGACTGGCTTCCTCTGGTCCTCCTGTCCACATACCAAAGACAAGGCTGTCAGTGCCCCCGAGGGGCAGTGTGTCTTCTGCCTTCCCTTCCCTTCCCTGCTTGCTGGGCCAGAAGCAGACCAGCCTGCCCTGGTGGGAAGCTTGCGGTTTTGAATCGGGCTCCCAGGAGCCGACCCACAGCCCTGGGTTGGGGCAGCAGTGAAGTGGAGAGGCAGGGCTGTGCGGCTGGGTCCCCGGGAGTCCCCTGAACCAGAGTGGGACCCAGACATAGACCACATTGCAGTGCCAGGGGGCTTTGGGGACCAGGTGTTGGTCGCCCCAGGTTGTCATTGTTTCTGGGCCTATTCTTGGGGAGAAGGGGTGGGCATGAGTTCATACTGATATTTGCAGTAAGTTTATGCTTCATTTCCCATATGCTGAAAGATCTCAGTCCTTGAGAGGTTTTTTTACATTATTGCTTTTTAGTTTTGGTCTATCCAAAAGAATCTTGATTCTTCTACTTCATATTTATTTATAACCATCCACTTCCCAAGGGATTTAGTCACTTTTGTTACTCCAGCTGCTTGGATATTTGAGATCATGCAATTTCACTTAACATTTCTCCTAAAAATATAATCAATTGTGTTCACCCATTTACATCTACTTAATGGAATTTTAGTCAACTATGTAGGAATTATTCTAAGATAAATAACCGCTACAAAAATGAACAAAAGAATGCAAATGTTGAATGAATGGATGAAACATTTTACACTAATATCAGGAAAATGAAAATTGAAATGCCATTTTTTTAAACTTCCAGATGAACTGACTTTTAGTATCTGGTTTTGGTGAAGGTGTAAACAAAGGACATTTCATACACTTGGTGGGAATATAAATTGATAATTTTTTTAGGGCAATTAGGCAACATCTGTCAGCACAAAAAAATGAGCATATGTCTTTGACCAAACCTCCATTTTTAAAAAAATTGTAGTTGATATGTAGTTATTAGTTTCAGGTGTTCAATGTAGTGATTTGACAATTACATAAATTTGGAATGTTTACCAGCTGTAACCATATAGTTACTATAGTATTGACTGTATTCCCCACTCTGTGCTTTTCTTCCTGTGACTTATTTATTTTGTAACTGGAACCTTGTACCTCTTGAACCCCTCATCCTATTTCACCCATGCCTCATGCTCCCCTCTAGCAGCCCCCAGTCTGTTCTCTGTATTTGTGAATCTGTTTTTCTTGTTGTGAGGCTTCCATGTTTTGAATGCTAGTCTCGTGCACACATAACATGTATGTAACAAAGATACTCACTGAACCATTACTTAAAATAAAAATTACACATTTTCTAAGTGCCTGTCAATAGGAGAACAGATATATAAATTTTTATATGACTTCACTGGAGGAAACTATGACGTTATTAGAAAATAAAACAAAAACAAAGGCCTCTTTCCATGTACCAACAAGGGACAATGGCCTTGACGTTTTACTGAGTGATAATCGAGATGCAGGGCAACATTGTGTCCTAGTCCCTTCCACTTATATAAAAGAAAATCCCTATGATTTGATCTGAAGATCAGAAATAATTTACTACTTAATATTCTTGCCTTTTTAAAACCAGCTTTTAGAGGTTAATTGGACCTGACTGAAAGTTCTCCTTGATGTACCTGGACTGAAGTAAGTGTGTTGCATCCCATGTTCACTGGTGGGGGTGGTGTGGTTGTCTTCAGTGTCATGAGACAACACAGAATAGTTGGTGGGCAGAATCCATGCCTGCCCTACAGGTTGTGAAGGAGCCATGGTGAGGCTGCGCTGGCTCTGCCGCATCAGCAGCTTGGATGCTGCTGGGGTCCGGAGTAGTGGGGCCCTGGGGTCTACACTGAGTTGCTCACACTCCCCTTTACTTTTTTCATCACAAGGCATCTTTCCAGCTTTGGCGCTTTAAGAAAATAACAGCCTTTTAACATCCTACAAGTTAATTTAGATTTGGTTTTTATTATTTTCCAGAAAAACAAAAAAACTTTAAAAAGCAAATGTTTCAAAAAAAAAAGTTTCAAAACTAGCCTTTTTTGGGTTCTTTTCACTGTCCCTTTCCTTTCTGCCCTCTCTGCCTTTAACCTCCCCTGTGTGGAGGGCAGGTTTAGGGGCAACCAGACCATGTAGGACCCAAGAGTCAGGTCTGTGAGAGACCCAAAGCTTCTGCATCGCATCTGCTAGGGTCCTCTCATTATTCTGTAGTAACTGGTATCTCACACATGGGGAGAATTTACCCTGGTAAGCGTATGGAACCATGAAGGGCACATCCCTGTGTGATAGAAGCCAGGTCTTCCAGTTTGGTTCTGTCTGTCCGCCTCACTTGGCAGAGGGACTGTCTGCAACAGCTGTGCTGTTTTTGCATAATAAATATGTACATACATTCTTTTTTTAAGGTATTGATATACACTCTTATGACGGTTTCACAAGAAAAACAATGTGGTTACTACATTCACCCTTATTATCGAGTCTCCCCTTTACCCCATTGCAGTCACTGTCCATCAGTGTAGTAAGATGCCATGCAATGCCTACTTGTCTTCTCTTGTACATACATTCTTAACACAAATTTGGTCTCGCTCAGAGGTTTCTAGCAAATGAATCAGATATGGTGAACCCTATTATGAAAGTAAATATTCCTTTGGGAAATCTTACCCCAAGCTTTATAAAATGAAGGTCCATGTGCTGTGTTAAGGGTTATCAAGCATCTATAATGCCTGAGTTGCTCACTCCACCATGAGTTTTAGCTGTCCCTGCTGCTTCCCATGAAGAGCCCCACATTGAGTGCTGAAGGCTTAAGAAGGGCTGAGGTGATGATGGAGACAGAAGTACAGTGACAAGCAGGGTGGCTCCCAGGGACAGAGAGGACCGGACACCACAGGAAGCTATTCTGGCATGATGGGGAGGTGGCAGCACGTGAAGACGTGGTCAGGACACCCTGTGGCCCTGATGAGTCCCCCTGGCACCACATAGTCAGGGTGGTGGCTGGCTTGCCTCCACGGCAGCTGAGGGATTCTTGAAAACATGTCATCAGCCAATGGATTTCCGCTTGAACAGATTTTTCAATATAAATAAAACTGCTGTTTTGTGGGGATGCCAGAAGTAGGAATGTGCTTGGCGTTAGACTGAAGGGCCACCTCTGCTCTGGGCATGCCCAGTGCAGTGGAGATCCTCCAGGCTCTCCGGAGTGCTCATGTCTGTTCAGCTGCCTGTTCATAATCAGAGTAGCATTGTCTATGGGGTGTGGTTTGTTTGGTCTTTGTATTTTTCCTGTCTTAAACTGACAAGTCCTAAGGTAAGGCCCTATATGGTCCCTGTATTTGAATGCCCAGCTTAGGTAAGTGTTCAGTTATCACTCAGTGACTCAGTGATGGAGCCCTTCACTCTGTCCCAGTGGACATTTTTATGTGCACAGTTACTTTATGTGTGTTAACATGTTTAACATCTGAGAACTACTGGCAAGAAGTAAGGTGGTTTTAAAGCTTTGCAGTTGGGTTAGAGGTGTTCTTTGGTGCCCCAAAACTTCAGTCTTTGTGCTTTCCCACATGTGGTCACTTACACACTAAGTCCCCTGTTTGCCCCAAATAATAGGCAGAAAATGTATTACAAGAGCGTTGTGTTCTCAGCCGCTGCAGTTTTATTCCTGTGCTGAGCTCTGTGCAGTGGCATGTGGTGTCTTAAAATCACTGTTCAATACCCAGATAAGTGGAGGAGAACGACTGAGTGCTCCTTCACTGAAAACTGTGCATGTGTAATGAGAGGGCGATGTAGTGTGATACAGTGAGTATGTGGATGTCTGTTAGGATATTCTCTGCACATTTATGGATGTTTGGAATATTTTATGTGAAGAAATTTAGTGAATTTTTTCTTAGTTATTCAACATTAATCACTGATAAAGCTATGTATGAATGTGTGCAGTGTTATTTAGGACATCAGGAAGTGTAGCCAGAGTAGTACAGTTTGTCCCCAGGATAAATCCTGCCTCATGGTCACCACAGCTGAAGGATTGAGCTGCCAGGATACACTGTGTGGGAGACATCAGACCCCTCTGCCCTGTGAACAGGTTGTCTTGTCACTTGAGAAGTTTACTGTTAGGGTGCAAGGTTGCTGTGTCTGATGGTTTGTTCTTTTTACCTCCTGCTTGACAGTGGTTTATCCAATACTATCATTTTGGATATAATATCAAACTATCTGGTGCTTCCCAATCGGATCACCATTCCTCTTGTCAGCGAAGTTCAAATAGCTCAGTTGCAGTTTCCTATACCAAAGGTAAGGACGTCTTTAGCATCCATAATATGCACAATAGATGTGCAGTAACCTTTCACCTGCATGGTGTTGTAACTTTCTGTTTTTCTCTCAGCCAGAAACCTTGCCACATGCATCTTGGTGTGGTAAAGGTAGTTGTCCTGCTGCACTCCTGGGAAGTTGGCTTATGTGCACCCAGGACCCGGAAGCTTTCAGAGATGCCATGAGCTTCAGAGGTGCTAATAGGGCCTTGGTTCTGCAGATGGACCTGTAGGTCCTGGGGGACAGCTGTAACAGCAAAGTCTCTGCCTCACAAAGCACACTATTTGTATTTATCAAAATGTAACAGCTTAGTCTGAGTGGTAGGGACTTCATTTAATGACCAGCATCCCTTTTGTGACACGTGAGAACACAGTGATCTCAGGGTCATTCAACAGGTGACGTGGTGGTGACATCTGTGGTCTTATGGCTCCCTGGGGGCCTGAGTCACCCTGGGGTCAGCAGTGACCTCAACTCAGGGCATGTTGCCAGCATGTCTGGGCCTGTGTCCTCATCTGTGAGCCAGGGCAATAGCTGGCACCGCAGTCACCATCTCTGGAGTAAACTGAGTCACCTCATCCAGAGGGTGTGAGGACTGTGGGTCAGGGATGTAGAATTACCTCTGCCAGCCTCAGAGGAAGGCTTGGAGCAAATGGGCCCCACTGGTTAGCAAGGGCCTCTCCAGCTGAGCTGCACCCTGCCGAGTGTGACTGGGGGCTCCAGAGTGGGACCCACAGCTTATGCCACCAGGTTGGAAGGTGTTGAGCTGGTGGTTACGTTTGCACCTGAGGTGGCCATTCATGACTACCCCCAGGCCTGTCACTTTGCCAGGTAAATTAGATGGACACAGTGCACAAGCCAGCAAACACCCACGAGCACTCTTGGATTTCTGAGAAGTAAAGTAATGCTCCAACTAGTTTTCACCCAAATTAGTTATGCTCTTGGCATTCAGCACATTTAATTGGACATTCCTATGAGAAAGGGATGTCTTTTACCTTGAGCTGTGATGCTTATTTATGAAAATCCAGGGATCCCTTCCCTCAGACAAGTCCTCACACACTTACAGCCTCCAGCCTCCAGTGCAGGTGGACATGGAGCTGCCCTGCCCAGGTTGGGTGTGAGCCATAAGCATGTCTCTAGATCATGGAACTTCAGACATGAAAATATAAGCAGAAAATTTGTGTTAAACGTTTTAAAGTGTATTTATCTGTAAAAGCATGTGTTGTGTACTGATTGGGTCAGGAATGTTACCCAGTAATTCTTTTAAAAGGTTTGTAGGAGAGAATGCTACCTTACTGAGAGGCAGGCAGCCTTACTGCGTTTGTTTGACCATGAAAGAAATATGAGTGAATGTCTTTTATTTTACCAGTTAAACAACATTTTAGGGAAAGAGAACTTGCTTAATGTCTATGAGTGGTACATATTTATAGATACTGTTATCTATAAAGTAGGTCTAATGGCAGCATTTTATAGGATTCTTCTAAAAATTGAATGAAGTAGTTGGTGCATATCAAGGGCTTAATATGAGGTCTGATAATATTAGTTGTCACTCACCATGGTACTGAAACATAGGCTTACTTGGTGACCTGTGAGGTTCTGCCTGTCCTGGCTCCGTGGGCTCCAGCAGCTGCACAGGATCTGGGCTGGGTGGCTGGAGGCCACAGGCCCCCATCCCCCTCCTTGGCTGTCAGACACCACCCTGTGCCTTCATCAGCTTCCCTAGCACAGCACCTGATGCCTCACAGACTTACACCCTTCTTCACTGCACAAGAAAGGCTCTTCCTTTTATTGGTCTGCACTGCGTTCTCATCACGCAACTGCTGGTCCATGTGTGTAATGAACATTGAGCAGCCCCATGTTTGTTCCTTTCAGGGTGTTCTGAGGATACACTTCATTGAAGCTCAGGATCTTCAGGGCAAAAATACTTACCTTAAGGGGCTTGTCAAGGGAAAGTCAGACCTCTATGGAGTTATTTGTGTTGGCAACCAAATCTTCCAAAGCAAGGTCATCAAGGAGAACCTCAGTCCAAAGTGGAACGAGGTGTATGAGGTGAGTGGGCCCAGTGGTGTCCTGGTGCGCCCTGGGCCCTCGGTGTGTCCCATGGAGTGTGCCAGTGTAGGCTGGAACTTCTGTCCCAACCTCACAACATTTCTTGTCATGCTGACATATAGAACAGTAAACCTTAATCCCATAAAGCTCACAATAAATAATTGGTAAAACGTTTTTGATAATGTGAAAAATGTTTTAAGTGATTAATGACATATAAACATGTATGTAATTAGATTAATTTTATACTGTTTTGTAAGTTTTTTCTTAATACATCTGGATGTCTCCATGTCTATAAATATAGATGGACCTGATTTCTAACAGCCACTCACTAAATAAATACCATCGTTTCCTGCCCCAGTAGACCCTAGCTGTTCAGATCGGCATTGTAACCTACGCTGTGCGATTGTGGGGAGTGCCTAGTTCTCTTGGCCATTTTCCCAAGATAGGCCCCTCAGAGGGGAGTTGCTGCATTAGAACACTGTCCCTGTTTGAGAAGAATGCCCCAGGACAATGTGCCTGGAGTAGTTGGTGTGCTCACAGCCTGTCCTCACCAGCTTCCCACCCGCCTGGGCCGCCAACTCTCCTCATTTCTGAATGGTGGTAGGTGGGCGCTGTGGTTGGCCCAGAGGAGCACTTGAAAGGGGGCCTTCAGCTGTAGAACAGAGCCCCAAGCCTGCAGGAGGCTTATGGCTGCCATCCTGTGGCCTCATTCAGAAGTAATGGCACCTGCCCAGCGAGACATGACCCCTGAGACCCGGGAGCAAGCACAGGGGACTCTCTGGGGCGGTGAGCTCAGAGCACGTCCTGGTCACGGAGCAGGCTGTGTGGCTTGGCAGTGAGAAATCAGGGTCTTTAAACTGCTCCCCACCGAGGAGGGTACACCCATGTTCACTGTAATCATCCTCAAGATGCAGCATTAGGGAAAATGTGAAATAACTGCTAATCATTGATTTTCCAGGCTCTAGTTTATGAACATCCAGGACAGGAATTAGAGATTGAACTCTTTGATGGAGACCCAGACAAGGATGACTTTCTGGGAAGGTAAATCCTTGGCGACTGTAAGGAAGCCTTTTTCTAATAATCACTCTTAAAACTGTAACAGCTTCAAGAGGAGGTCTGTGTACACATTGTATGCATTTTTAAATGGTTCTTAGAAAGATTTCTTTCATCTTACACTTCTTGAAACATGTTTGTTTTTTCCCTAAGTACTTTAACATTTAAATAAGAGAGGGAAGCTTCTACTAGGTCTCTGTTGGTGGGTCTCACCAGTCATGTAGCCATTTAAACTAAGTTGACTAAAATGAAACAATTTAAAGTTCACTTTCTCAGGTGCACTTGCCCCACATCAGTGCTTGGGAGCTGCGTGCAACACTAATGCAGTTCTGGCCTTCACACTGAGGCAGCTTTGCTCTGAGTGCAGGAAGGGGTTTTAAAGTTCTTCAGTTTTCTGGGGTTTGGGGGTTGGGGGGAGAATGGTAATTTACATTGTGCCTACACATTGGAAAAATATTGATCTGTTTACTTCCATTGAACAACTGTACTGCTGAAGAGAATGAGCTTATAAAAAATACACTTTAAGCTAATCTCTATTATTTAATGATTCTTCCTAGCAAAAAAGATACAGAGTAGATACATTGGACGTGTTTGACCTCATCAAGAATGGCCTGTAGATTATGTGTGACTCGAGAATTCATGAGAGAGCTTTGCAAGGAGCAACCGGAAGATTGTAAGATGGTAAGCAGAGCAGTGAGCAGAGAGGGGTGCATTCTAGGGGACCATGTGTGGCTAGGTGACCTGCAAGGGGCCTGGAGCCTGCTCTCACAGACCAGGAGAGGGTGTGAGGGTCTGACCTGAGACAAGCTCCTGGGAGCTACAGGAAGCGACAGGAGTGGAATCATCTGGTCCTTTCTGTGTAGTTACTTTATGTATGTATGTTAACACTTTTAAGGTCTGAGAAATACTGGCAAGAATTAAGTTTTAAAGCTTGTTTTAAAGTTGGGTTTAGAGGTGTTCTTTGGTGCCATGAAACTTCGCACATGTGTGCTTTCCCATGTGCACCCATTTGCCCCAAAGAATAGGCAGAAAATATATTAAAAGTACATTTGTGTTCTTAGCTCACCTCTGAGCTTCTGGGCAGGGGTAGGAAGAGCATTTTTTGCAAGAAAGTAGGATTATTTAGGGAAAACAGAGTGGGCTGTCTGAGAAATGCTGAGCAAGTGGCTGCTGTGGGACTTAGATACTGGCCTCAAGCTGAGGGTGGAGCAGAGCTGGGGCTGGGGTCCCAGCACCCCAGGTGCTGAGCCACGGTGCTGGGGTATATCCAGCAGGACGGCAGAATATCCATGATCACTTAAGGCACATCGTAAGTAGCTACATTGTAAACAGCTGGGAAGAGCAGACCAGTTTTTATACTCAGCCTCAGCTTTGCCAAGCCCAGAAGCACACTGCTCTCCTCACCTCCTTCACTCCTGCCTGGCTCTGAACTCCAGGAAGCCTTTCAAGAAGTCTTTCTGGATAAACTAGCATTTTGTTGCAGTTCTGGAGTACTTTTCATAGACATGCTTGAGATTGTTTCAGTTGTAAGAAGTGTGTCCCTGTGTTCTAAAGTTGTGTTGTTTCTGTAGTCTCATGATTGATCTCGTTGAAGTTGAAAAGGAGCACCTTTTAGATGAAGTAAGTCTTTTTGGAGAGTTCTACTATTTAGCTGTGTGCCTGCCCTGCCTGCCCACGTGACCTTCTGAGAATTTAACACTTGTCTCTGACATATTGAGAGTATAGGCCTTTTCATAATAGCAAAGCAAGAGAGAGAAGCTTAAGAGCCTAATAAGTATGTATTGACTACCTACTGTGTGCTAGGAATTCGTAAGGGTACAGGGCAGAGACCCACAAGAAGTAGCTCTAGCTAGCATTTAAACAGCTGGACTTAATGCATTGCCCAGTGGATGAGAAACTGTTCCATGAACAGCACCTGCAGATGCAGTGGGGGCTGACAGCAAGCAGACAGCAAGAAATGCACAGGGCATTGCTACCAGAGTGAGTATGAGACTCAGGTAGGAGAGATTAAGCCCCAGCTCAGGGCGGTCTTAAACCACAGTGCATGGCATCTGTCTTTGTTCATTATTTTGTGGTTTTTAAGCTGAAACAACAGTATATTATTTTTTAGTTAACATAATGATGAATAAAAGCAACATGTTTGCTTGTTTGAAAATTGAAATCTAGTATTTGGGACCCATGTGGTGTTATCTCTTGGCTCCTATGTTCTGTTAAAGCCCTTACGTAGAAGCCAGCATTGGGTGGCACTAGCAGACACCCAAATCGTGTGCGGGTAGGGATGAACATCATTTCCCTCGCAGGCATCTGGTTAGGATTCAGTAGATTAATGTACATGAAGCAGTCAGAATAGTCCCTGACCAGCACGTTCACAGACACAGGGCCCAGCCATGCCATGCAGGTCACCAGGGCCACCCGTTCACTCAGACAAGAGCAGAGGCCCCACTCTTGGCGCTGACCAAGGACTGGTGCCGCAGCCAGCAGTCGGCTGTCACATTTGCAGGCCGACTCAGGAGAACTCTGCTGACCTGCCCCTTTTTCCACAGTGGTTTGGCCTGGACGAGATCCCCAGGGGAAAGCTTCCCTTGAGGCTGCAGTGGCTTATGCTGGTCCTGGACGCATCCAGCCTGGACAAGGTGTGTGCGCTGCTTTCCTGAGACAGCAGCCACTGCTGGGGCTGAGATCACTGTCTTTCATTTGTGTTGATGCTCCACTAAAAAATTACAGCAGTGTTTTGATTATTATACCATGTCACTACAGTAGCAGGATGGATAAATTGAAGACAATGGAATTTTTTTTAAAGAGACACTCAGGTCATTCACACCTGTCTTACGAGATCTTCAAGTTTTGCCATGCTTGATATAGTACTTGGATTTGGAGAGCAACCAGTTGCCTGCATACCGTTTTTTATAGGATTTTGTCTTTTGAAAGATACTTAATGTTTTCATTCTCCCTGTAGTGCATATATGGAAAGGCTTGTTTCTCTACTTCCCTTGCTCCCCTGGGAAGTACAGACAATCAGGTGGAGAGAGTCTGACACCACGTGGAAGTGCACCTGCTGAGGCTTCTCCCCTCCTTTGCAGGTGCTGGCAGACATCAGAGCTGACTAAGACCAGGCCAGTGATGGTCTCTCCTCCTCCTTGCTGATCTTGTGTTTGGACTCGGCGAGGAACCTTCCAGTAAGTAGCACCCTGGGGTGTGCTGGGTGCCCACCAGCTGGTGGCAGATCCCACTGTACTCAACTCCACTGTGTCACCTATTTCTGTTGCGGTTTTCACTTCATTCCAGCCTGAAGGCAGCAGTGGACAGGGACACATGTGTACTTAGTGTGGTCTGGGACTCATACGTATCTTCTGTAGGGGGTGCTTATGGATCTTACTAATTTCTCCAGGATGCTCAGAATTATCTGTACTGTGGCATGTTTTGCAAAGAAATCTCCAATACACAAAAAAGGAGTATGCCTAGCATTTAGGGAAGAAGGTAGTCTATAGAAAGTCACTGATCATTAAATGCAGTTGCCTAAGGACAGAAAATGTCTCAGGCTCAGGAATGAAATGAAGCACCTCTGGTGACAGACCAGAGTCCATCCTGGATGTAGCATGGCTCCCGGGATGGCAGGAAGCAAAAGGACACACACGCTGCCCCTGAGCCCCTGTCGCTCACACGGCCCTCAGCCCAGAGCGTTTGCACCAGAGCTCTTCTGCTCTTAGAAAAAGCTGCAACGTGCAGCTCGTGCAGATGATGACCATAACGGGGAAGAAAAGCTCCCTGCTCCTGTCCTGTGCAGCCTGCTGTGACCCCGCTCTTTGGGCGAAGCAGCCGTGGGTATTGTGTTGGGATGGGTTTTGAGTGCCTGCCACGCATTCAGTAGTGCACCCTTCCTGCTTTACTTCTGTGTGTACACACACGCTGCCCCTGAGCCCCTGTCGCTCACACGGCCCTCAGCCCAGAGCGTTTGCACCAGAGCTCTTCTGCTCTTAGAAAAAGCTGCAACGTGCAGCTCGTGCAGATGATGACCATAACGGGGAAGAAAAGCTCCCTGCTCCTGTCCTGTGCAGCCTGCTGTGACCCCGCTCTTTGGGCGAAGCAGCCGTGGGTATTGTGTTGGGATGGGTTTTGAGTGCCTGCCACGCATTCAGTAGTGCACCCTTCCTGCTTTACTTCTGTGTGTCAAAGGCCAATTTTCTTGAAAGAAAGACTACTGCTACCAGATGCAGGGTGTCTTCCCCTCATGGTGGTAGTGGGTGCTAATTTTTGGGGACAGTCTCTGTGTCCTCTCCCTTCGCTGCTTCGATGAGCACAGAGCATCTTGCTGGCACTTGGTGCTTCTGCATCCAAGTGTTTCATGTTGGGTTCAGCCAGGCCTCACCTGACTGTGGCTGGGCTGTTGTGTATTCCGTGAAATACACACCCCAGTGATAGCACCTTCCAGGGTTTTAAAATTTTGCATGACTGGGCTTTGCTCAAAAGCAAAGTAAATATACTTTGTACATTTGTACATTTTATTTAAAGGTTTTAACAATTAAAACCCAATTGATTATCTTTACACCCTAGAAGGATGTGGTTGGACTCCATGTGATTGTATATAGACATACTGTACCTTTCAGTGAAACTTTCTTGACTAGTTTTAACTTAATTAAATTCTTAATTTTTCTTAAAGTATTACATTAGCCTTTTGGACAGTCTTCCAATCTGAAGTCTGTGACTATTTCTGTTAAAATGACAATTTGGGGAAAGATGTTTGGGGGGTTCATTATTGTTTAACCTTTCTACAAATTTCTTATACAGTAGAACCTTCTGTTTTTAACCACAATAATGTTTGCTCTAGAGTCTTTATAATGCCTTATGGAAGTGAATTTTTTGAACATTTTATTGGCAAGAAAGGATTATGCATCTCCTTAGAATTGAGTTTTCACATTACATTGAAATTTGAGTTAGGTCATGTAAGCAAAAAGAGAAAAAGTGAGTTCATTTGCCTCTATCGAAAGGTCACTGTACATGACCTGTGCTCTGGTTGCCAGAGACAAAGGTTCCTCATTAAACTGCTGCCCTGCCGGTTGTCTCAGATGGGCGCGCCTGCCATCTGCACTGCCTGCACCTCTGTGGGACCGTCTGTCTTTTGCACCCCTGTTTATTAGAGCTTCTGTACACTCATTGACGACAACCCACCATTCTTTGCTTTCTCCTCCTGTTTCCACTTTCCTAAGAGTATATACGAGGGAAACTTTGGGTGTGGCTACTTAAAAGAGAGGTGAGTGTCGGGACTAGTATTTTGTGAAAATACTGCCTCAGTCTATAGACCACTGTTTGTGAGTTCTCCAGCGTTGCTCTTCCTGTGTGGTAATGGAGACTGCTGGAATGTGGACTGGGACTTCTAACCACCCCCTTGACAGTAGGATGACGAGGCATGCCTCCTGACCCCTGCACAACCCCAGTCACCATGTGGTTCCATTTGTGCCTGTTCTGTGACACCACTGTGACCGATGTTGGTGGTCACGTCTGACAGTGAGATGAACACACCTAGTGAGTCACAAAGAAGCTTAGTTCCAAAACTGCTGCTGACCTGTAGAAAGATAAAAAGAGAAATTCTGAGGAAAAATGAAACCATAATGATTGAAATTTATTTCCTTGGGGTTCATCTCAATGTGAGATGTAAATATTTTGCGGCAAGCTTTCATAAACTTCCATGATCTACATTCTCCTCCTGACCAGACACAGAAGTGTCAGGGCTTCGCTTTGCTTGAAGTCCTAGCTCTTCCCCTGGGGAAGTGAGGGTGGAAATCCTGTTTCTCTGAGGACCTTCCTTCCAAATTGTGCAGATTTTCCAGTTGCTGCTAGCCCTCACTGCTTAACCAGGCCTCCTCAGGGAGAAAAAACATGGAGTTTACAGCTCAGTTCCTCTAAGGAGCCTAAAGATTCCATGGAGGGGGCTGTTGAGCATTTCTAACCTATATTGGGGAAGCTTATTTTGACCTCTTGTGCCTCCCCAGGGCCTTGTTCTGGGTACTGTTACTCATGCTTTTAGCAAACAGATAATTATTCTGGGGTTAGAGGAAGCCACCAATGAATGGCTCAGTGGTTGGTCTAGAAAGTCATGCTTCATAGACTAATGAATCATGTGACTCAATAACTAGTGAGATTCTTAAAGCTCACTTGGTCCTCGAGTCCAATAGTGGTGGTGCTTTGCATTTCTGAAGTGTTCATTTCTACTTTGACACATATTCTTAGTCTACTCCTATTAAAAGTAGAAGGGGCAGCAAATCTTGAAGAACAGGTGATTTGCCCCATTTTGTGGATAAGACAGTCAAGGCCCTGCAGGGCTGGGGAGCCATGTGTCGCACCAGCAGGCGGTGGTGACCATCATCTTCACTGCCCTCCAGCACCTGTTTACAGCCTTTTTAAGGCAAAATGAGGTCAGTGTGCATATTGACAGCCTTTTCTATCACTAAAATGATTTTCTATTTCAGGTACTTCTCAATACACAGTTGCATTATAAGCTGCTCTAAGTGACAGTGTGACTGGTACATACACTGTTAGTTGTCTCCAGTATCAGAGAAGCAATATTACTTTTTTCCATTCTATAACTATTCCTGTTAGAGGAAATATTTCTGACCTTGTGTCAGTATTTTTTAAATTGCTTTGTAATACTTAGCTAAGACAATGCTGGGTTACCAAAACTTCCACATTATCAAAATCACATACTTGCCTACTCACATGTAGGCATCAGCAAAACGTTCTGTAAAATGAGTTTGAACGGGTCAGTTGCCCTTTTTTTCCCCATCAGTGTTCGCTATGAAGTTAGATCACTGCTTTCTCTACCTCCTCCAAAGACTGAGACCATTCTCTTTCTAGAGAGGGTTTTGGACACTGCCAGCCCATTGCTCTTTTAACCTCTTCCTACTCAGAACTGTATATCCAGTATGAGTGCATTCCCACCAGTGAACTCTTAGCATGGCAGGACTTGCTCCCATCCTGGAATCAGCCTCTTTGTATTGTAGACTCAGCATCTGCCCTCCTCTCGATCAAGTACTAGGCTTGCGTTTCAGACTGGAGCACTGAGGGTGTGCTCTGACTCCCAGTGGCCCGCTTTAGAATTTTAGGCTTACAAGATAGCATGGGTTTGCTAAGCACTGTCTGAGGGCTCAGCTTACACAGCCCCTTCAGTCTCTGCCGTCATGATCACTTTTCAGGTAAGGAAACAGCAGAGCTTGTGGGTGCAGAGTAGAGACCCAGGCTTTGCTAGTCAAGTAGAAGAGGTTGGATTGGAGCTCAGCTATGTGACTCAGAGTCCATATCCTCACCCTTCCTGTCTACTCCCTCCTAGTGTAAAGTGAGTTTATTATCACTGCATTAAATTTGTAAGTTCAGAACGCTGTGTGTGGTGCTTCTCTGAGGTGCGTGGTGTTCATGCTAATGCCTGCCTGCCCATGAAGGGACTGGTTGTGTAATATGAAGACCCTTCTGTGTGAGGGTGCCAGGTGAAGCAGACGCTCAGGTGGCTGTCACTGCCTCCATTTGTGGTGAGTGGCCTGCGGGTGGAAAGTGCAGCAGTGCCTGAGGCTTCATGCTGACGCTGCCAGTGACCCTGGGGGATGCAGCCTGTGAATTCTGGGCCTGTGCAGCTCTGCATGGCCTTACGTGCTCATCTCGCACCCCTGACCCCACACGTGGCTTCTGATCTCCTTTTGCTTTAACTGATGCATATTAGAATATCATGTACGTTCACTACACGTCACATCTACCCAAACTGAGCTTTAGGAAGTATTCCTGTGACAGGTGAAGGTTGTCAGCCTAACCTGCCCAGGCCCCCCAATACACGTGTGGTGGGCCCAGTGTTTCAGACCTGGTCTGCTGCAGGGGTAGCCTGGGCCGAGCGTCAGTGTTAACACCAAGTTAATTCCTTGTGTCAGATGCTTGACCTTACCTTCCATGACCCTGGAAGGCATGAAGGCCAGCTGTCCACCTACTTCATTATAAAATATCCTGCTAAACAATAATAAAATATAACACAGTTTGTCATTTGAAGTTAATTACAACTAAAATGATCAAATCCTTCATCTTAAATGTTAGTACTTGAAGGCATTTGCAAAGTTTTAAAAATCAACAAAAATAGGGCCTACAGGCCATAGCAGTAGAACTTTAAACCCAGGAGGACCTTTTGAAATTGTCTGTTCAGCTTCTGCATTTTGTACTTGGGAAAGAACTTGGGGCAGGGTGGGGAAGGCCCATGCCTGCAGCAGTTTTTCATGAAGAGTACAGACTTCAGCTGGGGGGAAAGTAGTGCCTGCTTCAGGACAGGGTCTGCCCAGAGAGCCATGTGGCCCTTTCCTTTGTACTCTGCATAAACCTTTAGTGAGATATGGTGGATGTCTTAAGTGCTTATTCAAACAAAGAAGAGCAGATAGAAACCTTCCCTAAAGTGTCACGCATGGGTTTTTCAAATCCCAAAATGGTGAGAGAGTAAGAGAAGAAACTGTAGAGGAAAACCAGATGTGTCATGTTCATAGGTTAATAGTTCATCTCAGGAAATGCCTTGGGCATAAGAAGAATTTTACAAATGATTGTCATTGTTTTTTTGTGTAATTCTTTTGGTTTTCTTTTAAAGATGTTTTGTTTGTTTTCATCGATTTTCGTGTCATCAACCTATGTCGATGCCTCATTGCATGTTTTATTAACTCTTGGTATACTCATTTTCTTCTGACTTGAAAGAAACAAGGTATGCCTTCAATTTAATCCTGATGTCTTGAAGAAGGCTGCAGTTCAGAAAACTTTAAAGTTAAACTAATAGTTTCCCTTCAAAAAGTTAAAACATATTGAAAGAGATGATGCTTTGGTGCTCATGGGTTTGCTATGAAGTGCCCCTCATAGTCACAGAGTAAGCAGTATCTGCTTGGAGAGAGCCTACTTTTGTTACCCAAGAATTCATACGTAGAAGAATTTAAGTCAACTTTGAAGATGAATTTTATAAGACACAATATGATAAATTATACCTCTGTCCTGTTGGCCTTAGGTAGCAATATCTAAGGTCATTCTACATCATCCATATTTTAATTGGATTTGAGTTTGTGAAAATGGCGAAATAGAAGTTGTACCTAAAATATGAATCAATTTTTAGGTGATAATTTCAAGGCATACCTTGTGCATTGTGACTACCCGTTTAAAAATCACCTCTTCCAATATACTGAGTCAGGGCCATGTCTGAGTCAGTGACTCCTGGCTTTTGATGCTGCCAGGTGTGGGTGACTAGCCTTAAGTTTCATTAAATGAGGTATATTGGAAACTAAGCTCCACTCCTTAAAATGACATGACCATGTATTTTCTGGTGAAATTGTTAAGAGTTTTCTATGAATTACAATGCTGTATTATTTTTTCTCTGATTTCATTTAATATCTTAGGCTTAAATATTGGGGGCAGGGGAGGTTTTAAATTGTCTTAAGAAAATTTTATCCAAAAGAGTCAGGATGGTATTTTTTAATCAGGTTCATGTAGAAAAACAAGTTAAATTTCAAAAATGAAGAACAGTTGTTGCCATGTCCATCCCTCAGAACACTTGAAGGAGCTCTGTCAGCAGTCTCCTCTCCCTCTCTGATACCCGGTGCTCACTGAGCAGCACGCTGTGATGATTAGAACACAGGCTCTGAAATCAGACAGCCTGCATGTGAATCAGCAGAGCTCACCAGTGTGACCCACTTGACACAGCACAACGTTCAATCCCTATTGATAGCATGGAGGCGATACAATCCTAATTGGAGTATAGAATCATAGGATAATATGTGTATTTTAGTTATTACATTTTCTCATTTATGTTTAATAACAAAGTTCTGGAAATGGCATTATTCCCATTTTATACACATGAAAATGGAGGTTCAGACCATGGAATGTCAGTCTTGTCATCAGTGGTAAACAGCTAAGCTTTTAACACAAGACAGACCGACTTAAAAGCTCATACTCTCATTATGCCTTGGGTCTCTGACATGTGCTGATGATGCATTTTGAGTATCACATCATGGTAAAAAACACAGTGATTTAACTGTTTCATAGAATCTAAAGTGTCATCCACTGTAAGATCCACCATTATCTTCTGTACCATCAAAAAAGAAAAAAGGTATCAATTAAGGTTTATTTTATGCTTTGAAAGAATTTCTAGACCTTGGACACATTGTATGGCACCCACACATGCACACACAGGAGAATGTCAGCAAAACAGATGGTTTAAGGCAGAGACACTCTGGCACTACTGCCTTCTGCCTGAGGGCAGGCGCACATAGTCATCCTGGACTATCACCATGTTTCCATAGGTGGTGGAAAGTGAAAAAAAAGTGTGTCTTAAAATTGAGAAGATAGAGTAAATCTCTAGGAATGAATGGCTACTTTTTCAGAGATGATGCCTTAACAGTCAGCCTCTGTACCAAACTCAAAAGTGTAAGTTTAAGCAAGTGGCTGTCTGTTCCCCTCCAGTACTGATCCTTACTGATTCGGTACTAATTCTGCCTGTGGCTCCACAATGAGAACCCCTCGAAGACCCGGCTGTGACTTGGCCTCACTCTTAACTACAGGGAGGCCCTTTGTTTGAAGGGGTGGTGCTCAAAGGAAACTTCAGGCTTCTAGTATAAACAAAGAAGGAGAAAATATTTAGGGGAAGATGAGCATTCTCTGCTACAGAAGTCTATATAGCCTTGGGTATTTTTTAACAGTATTTACTTCATTTTGCAGAGTTCATTCACATCAAAAGCAGAAACCAGACAGTAGACTACCACAGTGTGTTTGAGCTAGTGTGTTTTATTCCAATAATCATATGAATTTGACACCTTTTTCTGTCACTGCTGCAGTGTTGAGGATTGATTCTAAAAATTTTCAACTAAAAACATTTTCTGTGGCCTTCCAATTAATTGCCACCAACATATATATTTAATTGCATGTTCTTGTGGGGCTAAGTTATAAATAAACCTCATATCCCATTATGTTGTTTTCTTCTGTCGTGTCTGTGCTAAAGTATGCTTTTTATCACATTTTCTTATTCCTGATTTTTCTCATTATATTTATATCTGCTTCATTTAATGCACTTATAGATTGATGTTTATTCTTCCAGTCAAAATTACTTACCAGCTGGTAAGCAAGATATCTGATAGCTACATGTTTGAACAGAAGGTACCAAGTTAAAAATATTATATTGTGTCTCTAACACTTTGTAGTGTTTTATTATTGCAACCAGGGGACTGTTTTGTTCTAATGGAAGTACAGTTGACATGTAGCAGTGCATCAGTTTCAGGGGTACACCATGGTGATTCACCAGTTAGACACATCATAAAATGTTTGTCATGCTGACTGCAGTCCCACGTGTCACCACACAGTCACTGCAATAGTATTGACTAAATTTATATGCTGTGCATTATAGCCCCATGACTGACTGACCTTATGATTCAAAGTCTGAACCTCTCAGTCCCAGGGGATTTTTGAAGTATTCACTCTTTACATTTGTCCATTCTCATATTTTTCTGTTTCCACTTACTGCACTTTATTCATTTTGTTATCCTAGTAAGATAAGTTTGAAAGCTAGAATTAACATTGAAATTTTTCATATTTCCATTTGTCCAGAGTAGCTTGCTTTAAAAAAAAAAGACATTAACATTTTTAAATTGTGTGCAAAAACCAGCTTTCTTAATTTACTTTATGGTAGACACAGTTATGGCTTTGGGATATGCTTAGCAGTCATTTCTGATTAAAGTGTTCCCAGATGTCCCCTATAACTGAAGTAGCAGAAGTCAGTAGAAGTGAGTGTTACTGAAGGATAATAACTGCATTTTTTGTGAGCCCCATTTCAGGTGTATGTTTCTTATTGTGTCTTTTTGTCTTTAGACGGTCAGGGAAGAAAATGAACAGCAGTTCAAACCCTGTTGTCCAGATGTCAGTTGGGCACAAGGCCCAGGAGAGCAAGGTAAGATGCCAGTGTGCCGATTTGGATGGCGCCACCATCTCAGGTGGGGCTGTTGCCAGGGTCAGAGGGAAGGGGGTACAGAAGTCCAGCCACTGATGTATCTTTCTTTTGTTTTCTCTAATCAGTAATTTCATAGACAACCAGCTACTTAATTTGGGGAAAAATATATTGATCGTTTTTTTAAATAACTTAAAATGACTTATGAATATGCTTTTGCTTGATTTCATGGGTAGGTGACACGGGATCAATTTCTAAGTTTTCTTTGAATGTTCTGTAAATATTTTGTTTAAAAGACAACCACCAGTGCTTCAAATTCAACAAATACAAATTATATTCAAGAATAAAAGGCATTAATTTAGAATAAAATTGAATAAGAGGCCTTGTTGGTGCTGTGGTACGTTCTGCTCTCCCACCATGGGAGGAAACGTTTTGGGAACAAGTAAAGCTACAGGCTGTTCTCTTTGAACTCGGCGGGAGCTTCCTGTCTTGCAGCACTGCGAGGCCCTGGGGCACAGCAGAACAGAGCCTAGCCTGGGGCAGGCTTTGGAGGTGGGTGGGGGTAGGTGGTGGGTCACCAGTGATCAGCTCCGTAACAGCTGATTTCCTGACACAGTATGCTTTGGCATGTCTCTGCACAATATGCAACAGAACTTGCTCGGTAAATGTATGTCTTGGACTTTAATTAAAGTCGTCCTAAGCTTCCAAGCACAGTAAATAAGTAAACAGTACTGGCCACCCTCTTCCACAGAAAATACCACAGAGGTGACATTTCAATATTCCTTCCAGATTCGGTACAAAACCAGTGAACCTGTGTGTGAGGAAAGCTTCACTTTCTTTGTTCACAATCCCAGGCGCCAGGACCTTGAAGTTGAGGTATTATATTTGCGTTTTGTAATAGATTTGTTGAGAAAAAATCACATACAAAGAACTGCATGTAAAGCAGCCAGTATACAGACCCATCACCAGAATCAGCACATCTTTGTCAAACTTATCCCAGAGTATTTCATACTTTCTGATACTGTAAATTTTAAAAATTTGCATCTTTCATTGATTGCTACTAGTATCTAGAAATGCAACTGAATTTAGTATGTTGACATCAGATTGTAAACTCTGTAAATTTACTGGTTCTTGTAGCTCTTGATGGTTCCTTTGGGATGTCTTCTGGCTGGCTCCCCATTTCTGCACAGAATGGCACTTGGAGTCTGATGACTTGTACTCCATTGCCACCTACCCAAGCCCCTGGCCTTTGACTCTGATGTTTCACTCGTGTTTCACCATGAAGCTGATTCTTGAGAACTTTTCTTCTGCTCCAAGTGCTAGTTTGATGATCGCTTTGGTCATGAATGGATGTTGATTTTCTCAGAAGGCTTCTTCAACTATTGAGATAATGATATGGTTTTTCTTTTTAAGTTTATAATTATGGTGAAATACATTGTCTATTCTCAGATGTTACACCTTGCAAACTTCATTTGGTTTTCAAGACTTAACATGACAAAACTTAGCAAGCAAACATTTATTTGGAGAGAACCCGGACTTAGTCATGACGTACTACCTTTTTATGTGTTCAATTTAATTTGCTAAAATTTTGTCAAGAATTTTTGCATTTTAGCCATAAAGGGTACTTGATCTGTAATTTGTTTGCTTGTAGTCCCTTCTCCTGGTTTATATACCAGGCAGTGCAAGCCTCCTGGGATGAGTGGGGAGTGTCCCCTTCATTGTCTAGGAGAGTCTGTGTGGAACTGGGTGGGTTTTGCTCACATGCTTCTCTGGGGAATTCACCAGCAAAGCCTTCTGGGCCTGCTGTGGTTTCTTTTTAAGAAGGTATTTAAATACAAATTAAATGCCATAAGTAGGTACTGATCTATCCAGGCCATCTGTTCTTCTTGATGATTTTTGGTATTTATGTCTTTCAGGCAGTTTATCTACATTACTGCATTCCTTGACATGCACCATCCGTGGTACTCCTTAGCATCATGGAAAGGTAGAGACCTCCTCTCTTGCTTCTGAGGGAGTATGGCCTCTTCTTTTCCTGACCAGTCTGGCAAGAGGTATAACTGGTGAGAGGTTTAACAATTTTATTTTCTTAAGAACCAGCTTCTAGTTTCATTGATTGTCATTGTCCTTCTCTGTTTGCTTCCTCACCGATTTCTCCTCTGATCGTCATTATCTCCGTTCTTCTGCTCACTTTGGGTTCCATTTACTTCTGTTTTCCTGGTTTTTGAAGGTGGAGGCTGGATGTGAGTCCTTCTCTGACGAGCTGGGCATCTGGCTGACGGGGTCTTGAGAGCTGTGGTGGCCACATCCCATACGTGCTGATTCCCTGTAGCTGCTTTTTCATTCTTCTCAAAATACTTAATGATTCCCCTCTTAGTTTCTTTCTTTGACTCGTGGGTTACTAAAGATCTGTTAGTTTCCAGGTGTTTGGGGATTTTTCTTCCTATTGTTCATTCTATCTGAACTCCACAGTGGTCAGATTACATCCTTTGTATGACTTGAATGTTAAGCCTGGAGGCTGGTCGCCCAGAGGAGGGCCTCTCGGTGCACGCTCCATGTGTCCGGGGAAGCCTGCTGCTCCTGGGTGGGCATTGCGTTCCACGAATGCCATTGAGGCCAAGATGGCTTGACCCTGCTGCTCAAGTCTCTGTGTCCTCACCGTTTTCTGTCTCCTTGTTACATCAGTCACTGAGAGTGTGGTGTCTAAGGCTTTAGCTTTAAGACTGAATCTGTCTGTTTCTTCCTCTCAGGCCTCAGTTCTTGTTTCATGTACTTTGGCCTCTGTTACTAGGCACATAAACCCCTAGGGCTGTTCTGCTTGCCCACCAATGAGCCGTTCCCTTCATCATGTAAAAGTCCCTTGTCAGTATACTCTCAGCTCTGTGATCAACTCTGATGTTAATATATACATTAATTAATATATTAATGACCTTTCTTGTAATTGGAGTTAGCACAGCTTATTTTTCCCATCCTATTGTTTTCAACTATTTGTAACTTTAGAATTAAACTAGGTCCTTACAGACAGCATACAGTTAAGTCTTGCTTGTTCATCTAATCTGGCAGTCTCTTACTTTGCATTTTGGCATCTAGTTCGTTTCCATGTGCTGTTATTGTTGATGGGTGGTGGCAAATCTGCCAGTGTGTTATTTGTCCCATTTATTCTTTATTCTATTTTTCTCTTTTTTAATGCTGATGTCTCTTGGGTGAATTGAGCACTTCTATAATTCATTTTATCACCTCTTTTGCCTTATTCACTATACCTCCCTGTTTTGTTTTTATTTTTCTTAGGGGTTGCTCTAGAGTTTATGGTAGTCATTTTTACCTTAAGTAGTAAGCCAGGTCTCAGAGAGTACTAGAACCTTCTGTGACTTACTTCTGCCATTTCCTCTCTTCCACACTTTGTGCTGTGGTCCTGTTTTACTTGTGCATGTGTGTTTAACCCTACAACACATTTTGTTATTTTTGTTTTAAGCAGGCAGTTGTTTTTAAAGAGCTTAGAAAAAACAAAGCAGTCTTTCCAATTTTGCCACACATTGGCCCTTTGCAGTGTTCTTCCCTCCGTGGCATGGATCCCAAGTTCCTCATCATGTGATTTTCCCTTGCCTGTAGGTCTTTATCAATTCCTGTGGGTCTGTTCTGAATTCTTTCAGCTTTTGTATGTCTGAAAAAGTCTCTTTCACCTTCATTTTTGAAACATATTTTCACAAGATACAAAATTTTTGGCTAACGGCTTTTTTTCTTCCACTTTCTTCCATCTTGCATTGTTTCTGATGAGAAGTCTGCTGTTGTTAAGTTTGGGAAACTTTTGGCCCCTGCTTCCTCACATTTTCCCCTCTTTACGTGTCTAACATGCTACCAACCCCATAATGTGATCTTTCATCTCAGAAGTAGGATCTGGATCATTCTCCCGAGTCTTTCCCCCACACGCTCATGTGTGCTCGTGTGTCTGACAGCTTTTAGCACCCTCTCACCAGTTCTGTCATCTGTGTAACTGCTGGATCTGCTTCTGCATGTGAGTTTTACCCTCATTAGGAGTCACACAGTCCTGTTTCTTTGGTTGCCTGATAATTTTTCATTGTAATTTTACATTCCAGAGTATTAGGATTTTTGTATTCCTGTGTGTTTTGGAGATTTGTTCTTATTAGCAGTTGAGTTACTTGGATACATTCTGTGCCTTATGAGGCCTGAGCTAAGCTTCACTGGGCAGGCCCGACAGCTAGTCCTGCAGCCCGTGGCCTCACTAGTCTGATGCTCTGAGTGTTAAGAAAATTCTGCCCTCTGTTTGGAAAGGATACTTCCTGCTGTCCTTTGTGCCCTGGGACTTGTCCTTACTCCTCCTGGAGCACCTTCCCTGGCCTTGAGCAATCTGTTCCTGCACACATCTGAGCAGCTGCAGACACTCGCCAGGGCCTTTGGTGCTCTCTGTGGGGCTCCTCCACACTGGGGGACCACTGGCCTCTGTCTGGGGCCCTAGTACTGGCCATAGCGTGACCTCTCAGCCAGTGCCATACCAGTGGTGGAGCTCCCCCACTTGCTCCTGCATCCTGTGTCCAGTTCCCTTTGCTACCCAGTCGGAGACCTCTCATCTCATGTCTGCTGGGTGTTTTTAAGCTAATGTAGGATGATAAAATTCATTTCCTGTAACTTGGTCATAGCCAGAACAGAAGTCCTCTGCATGTTTTAAAATACAATATGTATAAGTCACCTCCTTAGGCAGAATTAGGGGAGCTTCTTGGAGGTGTACCTTCTGCTCTCAGTGGCAGGCTCCCTGCCACCTCTCTCACCCCACTTTAGTTTAACAGAAGTGCCGTTCCAAGTGCATTCATCCCAGTTCTGAGCATCTGAACAATTCCAGTTCCCATACTTTCCTCTTGGCATGGCCTGTATTTCAACATTCAGTCCTTGAGAGGTCAGAGGTCCTCTGTTTTCTATTTAGCTTGACCCTGAGGTCTGAGGGGTGTCCTGCTAGGCAGTTGTCACTCTCCTTGATGGTGCTGGTCAGATGGACATGCCCAGCCTGTTCCATTATTCTATTTGTTTGTTTTTGTTGTTGTTATATTTTTACATTCTGTTTAATACAAAATATGTCTGTCTAGCTACTTTTTCCTTCATAACTTGCTCTGTTAAAATATCTGGTTACTGGATCTTGAATTTTTAAAATTGAGTTCTGTAAACACTGTCACATCATTTAAATGCTTTCATGATTGCAGCTTAGATTAGCAAGCAGGCCTTGAGGTTTCATGTGTGGTTCACTTCTCTCACCATTTCTGTGCAGCCCATGAACCCTCCAGGGCTCCTCCCCTATGCAGTTGAAATATGTGTTACTACAGTCCAATGGGGTGATTCCTATTAACAGAGGTAATGCTGGTGTGCATTATTCAGAAGACAAATTGCCATGCATTTAGATTAGATGTTGTAAATTTTCAAATCAACCAGGTACATTTTCAGTATAAATATTTTTTCTCCACAGACAGGCCATCACTAGTCGAAACTTGAATCCTCACTGCACATGTGAGTGGTCACTGTCCCCACAGGGCCAGGGACATTTGTCATCCTCAGGTGTGTGCGCTGTTGCCCCTCGGCTCAGGACTCCCTCAGATTCATCACACAAGGTGTTCTCTGGGTTCTTGTTCTCGTGTATTGAGGAAATGACAGATACATCATAACCCACTTGTTATGGTGTTTTGTGTTTCAGAAGAATCCCTTAGGCAACCTGCTTAGGAGGAGGTGACTCAATTGCTTCTTAAATGCTGTACCCAGGCCTTTCTGTGTTTTCTGCCCTAATCCTCAGTGCTAAGCATGGTCTGCCATGTGTGCAGGTCAGAGATGAGCAGCACCAGTGTTGCCTTGGGAACCTGAAGATCCCTCTCAGCCAGCTGCTGGCCAGCGAGGGCATGACCCTGAGCCAGCGGTTCCAGCTCAGTAACTCTGGCCCCAACAGGACCCTGAAGATGAAGGTCGCCCTCTGGGTGCGGGCGTCTTGAGCAGGATTTACAGGAGTGGGAGGGGCCACCTGGGCTATGCTCTCTGGCTGTGCTCCCAGTGTGGGCGGTGCAGGGCGTGGGAGTGGTGGTCGGGTGGGGGCCCAGGGCCAGCAGGAAGCCTCATGTTTGGGAAAGGCACAGACTGGTTCTGTAGGCTCTCAGGAGAGGGCGAGAGCAGATTCAAGACTTCCCACAAAGCGGGTATTTCGAGATGGCTTGCGCGGCCCCAGAACTACTCTTTATGCTTGCACAGGAGTCCAGCCAGCCATGCTTTTAAGTCCCCTGGCCCAGGTTAAATTGTCAAAGGCCATTCAGGGAATTTAATGAAACTACAAAATGGTAGAAATTACAGAAAAAAATTTTGTCCAAAGTAGATGGTAATTCTTGTAAGTACCCGAAGAAACATGCAGGGAAATGCTAAAACTGACTAACGTAAAAAAGCAAATTAAAATTAACTGACTTTCCAAAAAAAATAAACTCTGTGGAAGGTGAAGTCCAGTGCCCGGCCCCAGCACAGCCTCTGCAGAAGGGACTGTTCTGCAGCCCCTTGGACTGGTTGATCCTATCCCTGGAAATCTGGCTTTTGGTAGAAATATGGAATGTAGGGAGACTATGCACGTAAAGACATTCATGCCACTTTATTTGTAAAAGCAGGAAAAAATCACAAGCCATCACAAGCCCTGGAGAGCAGACTGCTCAGGGGAACTTTGTGCACATTGGAAGGAGGCAGTGAAAGCAAGTGTGGTGGGGGGTCCAGGAGCTCGGGCAGGTGGGGTAGTGGGGGTGGCCTTGCTGGGCAGAGGGTGGGGTGTCCAGGAGCTCAGGCAGGCAGTGGGGTGGCCTCGCTGGGCAGAGGGGCGCTTGCCCCCATCATCTCCCTGAGGAGTGCTGGCAGAGACCACCGTGCAGAGTGAGGCTGGCCACCTGCACAGGGCATGGGACTCAGGCTTTGCCAGCTGTGACATTGCTCAAAATGGTGCAGAAAGGCAGGTGAACAGAAGAGGCTGGAGAGAAATACACAGAAATAACATTTACCTCACAGAAGCGATGTTTTGGTTACTTTAACTTTCCTCTTCTAAACCCTCTGTAATGTGGTGTTGCCTTAATAACAGAATAGCTGAACACATAGAATAGACCATTTTTAATGTTTTGTGTTTTAAAGACATATTTTCAAATGAATATATCTAAAGCAGGTCAAATATCAGATCATTACCAGTGTCAGCGGTTTTAATTTTGTGTTTATTTCCAACTCTAGGTGCTCCACCTTGAAAAGCAAGAAAGGTCTCCAGAACACCAGCACTCAGCTCGAGTAAAGCAACCCTCTGTCTCCAGGGATGGGAGGAAAATGCCCACCAGGGCTCAGATATCTGCGTCACCCCACACTGCAGATGGTGGACCCTCCCACCTGTGCCAGACAGTGGGAGTGATGGTAAGCCTGGCGAGGAGGAGAGCACCCCGTCTGTGGAGGCCAGCCCTCCAGAGCCAAGTGACCTGGCCAGAAGCTGCTCCAGCCTGCAGGCCAGTGCTGCCTGATCCCCCAACCCATCCTCATCAAGGAGCCCACCCAAGCATCGCTTCGGACGTGTCACTGTCCATCAGCACTCAGGAGCTTCGGCAGCAGCTGCGGCTGCTAGAAAAGTAACTAGATGCCCTTTGCCCTTGTTGTGCCTGGTGGGGGGTGGGGGTGGCACATACCATACAGGGAGCACCTCTCAGGTCAGCTAGAATAACTGGAGTCTTGACTTTCTGACTTCGATAAACCTGCCATTTTTTTGGTCCTCATTTTTGGCTCATTTAAGGATGAGAAAGTGAAGGGGCAGTAGGTTCCATGACTGGGAGGAGCCCTGGTGCCTGTCCTTAGACCAGGAAGGCAGAGCCTGGAGTCAACTTGCTGAATCATGATCCCAGGGTGGCACCTGTTTGCTGTATAAGAATAGGCCCTGCTTGTCTGTGCTTGATCAACACCCATTCTAGCTGCCTGGGAGCATCTGCCTATCTTGGATGTCTGTGCTCATTCTTGTTTAAGCCCCACAGCTCATAGGTGTTCTCTGATAAGAAAGAAAAGCACTTGGCAGTTGTCAGCCTCAGACTAGCCTTTTCCTCTCAGCGGAAGGAAGGAACACGGTTGCCCTTTGAGGCACTGTTACTATTTGTTGTTCTAAGAGGTGTGTTGAGTGTGATGTGCAGCCAGGGTGGGGTGTGTGTGTTCCTGGCAACCACAGAGCGCTGGTCTGTGGGGCCTCTGTGACCCAGACTTAGCACACTCTTCCCCTCGGTACTCTCTCATGTCCACTGTTCTGGAGAAAAGGAACCAGTTCCTTCCACTCTTGCTGTAGAAGGAAATAGAATTTCAAAGAAACCGCTTTTCCTCAGGAGCTCAGCTTGGAAAGTGGCCGAGGTGACCCTGGGGAGCACAGGCTGGAGTGGTTGTGGGCCATCCTGCGGGTCTGCACTTCAGCCGTGAGAGAATCCAAGTGGGGAGTATGGATCTTGGCAGATGGCCTGTCAGTGAGAAACAGAGGCACTCGCGTGGGGCTGTGACAGAGGGCAGCTGTGGGTCAGTTCATAAAAACCATGGAAGATGTTTATAATCAGGAGACCTCGTTTTTACTTTGGGTCCTAACAGCAAAGGCTGCCAGCTTTGAATAATTACATTATGTTTAATCCTCAATTGAACTATGAACTCAGCTGGTGCCCAGGTTTGACCCAGCCCACAGGTGCTCTGAGCCCTTCCTGTCTAATCGAGAGAGCATGGTCTTCTTACTGTGTGGGTGCACCTCAGCCCACTTGGATGGAGGAGATGGCGGTGACCTTGTGCTTGCTTTCCCAGTGGGACAACACTGGGACAGATCCAGCTGACCGTGCGGCACAGCTCATAGAGGTACAAGCTGGTGGTGGTCGTGCTCTCCTGCAGGTGAGAGGGCATGTGGTGCAGGTGGGGGTGGGCGTGAGATGCTCTGGTGTCACCAGCACATGGGCTTGTTTCAACTTTGAAGAACAAAGCAAATTGTCCTGTAACTCTGTATTCAGTGTTTCACTTGCTTTTGTTCTAATGTCTCCTAAGCATGTCCTATTTGTAGTGCTGTGCTGTGGTCTACACAGCATTCCTTGCATGGTGCTTAGAATGTCTGTGTTACACATAATAGTAGTGAACACTGTTTTCTTTTATTGAGGTGTCTTCTGGGGATTAAATTTACAGGAGTAGGTTTATGTCAATTTACAGCTCCAGAATAGTTTATGGGATCATGACAGGCATTTCCATAGTCTTTTCACAAAGAGGATGCCAGGGGACATTGGCCCCTCCGGCACACCTGTCCCTTCTCCCCACGGTTGGGACCGGTCTGTCCTAACTTGCACAGGGGTTTTATTTGTGTTATGCTTCAGTTTGTGTGATGGCTGGTGATGGTTGGAGGTGACTGGGTTTTTTCCTTTTGTGTAACTTGTTGATATAAATAAATAATATGAATATTTGGATCTTAGAAAAATCTGTGGAAATATAGGAAAATAAAATTAGCTACACTTAACTGGTTATGTAAATGTGGAGTTCAGTTCAGCCCTATTTGTTGTGCACCTTCTGTGAGCTTGCTGTTTGAGGGCTGTGGGTGGTACAGGACATGGCTCACCCAGAGGGTACTGGTTCTATACCCCAACCTGACCCAGGTGGTGACCAGGTGAATGGCCTTAAGTGGGTGCGTGTAATTCAACACTGGACTGTTTTTGCCCCAGAACAGCAGCCTGGGTCCGCATCTATGAAGGGTTCAGGGGTCGAAGGACAGAGACTGGCATCAGCACCAAGCAGGCACAGAGAAAGACTGAGTGCCACTCAGCAGTCCTGTAAGCAGCATGCTGCACGGCTGCCCTGGGGCCTGGGAGGTGGCTTTATTTGGCCATAAGGCTGACCTCATTGCCTCATCAGGAGAAGACAGTATGAGTTCTGTGGGAAGTGGTAGTTTCTGTGTTGGAAGCAGAACAAGGTGTCAGAATATCCCCCAAACTCCAGGCTCAAGACATGAAGGCAGATGCCCCTGCAGCAAAGATGCTGAAGGAGAAGGGGCAGCAGGCAGAGGCAAGTGTCACTCCTTGTGCTCAGCATGCAGATGAAAACAAAGCAGAGCTGGGGACCCGAGTGTGACGGAGCTATCTGCCTGGGTTCTAATGTCTAGTGTTCTCCGGTTTATGTTACAAGGAATCTTATTGCCTTCTTGGAAGATGGCTCTGACCCTATGTCCACATGTATTTGTTACCAGACAAGAGGAGGTCAGGAAGGAGAAAACACACGTGTCAAAGAAAACATTGAACCCCATGTTTGATCAGAGGTAAGGTGTGTACTCAGCCGGGGTAGATGCCGAATAACACACCAGGAACAGCCTGGCAATGCCTTTGAATGACTCAAATGTTTAAACACACACACTGTTGACAAGTGCAAGTGAAAGAATCAGCAGCTGTGAACTTGTTAACATAACTAACTATTTGAAACTTCCTGTAGACCTGTAAATGTAAGTCCCAGGTGTAAACTATGGACAGGGAGGGTCTCTATTAAGCCAAGAGCATGGCCAAAGTCCAGAACCTTCCCTTTAGGCACAGATCCATTGCTTTTCACTGAGACAGAAATCAAAACTGATAATTTTAAAGTATTTTTAAATAACAGTTGAAAAAACAACATCCTAGGATGGACATTCTTGTGAAAAACTAATTCCTAAACAACTGAGAAAAGCAGTGAAAAGACTGGCATTGCTGCTTGAAGCATCCGAGGTCTCACAGGCAGTCTGATAACAGAGGCTGTCAGCCTCGGCTGCCCCACGCGAAGATTCTCCATCTGTGCAACCTGGTATTGCCCGTGATGGTGCTTCAGCTTAAAGCACAGTATTTATGGAAACAACAAAGTCAGTGCTGTTAATGTCTGTTAGTTCACTTTACACCTCATCTTTGAAGATGCTAGTCGTTTGTTGCATTTTCACACGTGTAACTGTTTAAACCAAGGTCAGAAACTGATGGGCACATGCTGAGTCCTGGTGCAGGCCTGCTCTGCATGGCTGGTGCTTTCCCAAGCTGCGTGTTAAGGATGTGGGGACCCCGCATGCAGATCTGGGTCTCCAGCTGCTGGAGCTCTGTGGGGGGCTGGCCACATCCCAGCCACATCCCTGCGAGGCCTCAGGATCGGCTGGCTCAGGCACTCTGGTCCTCAGTGCTGGGTCTGTGGCCTCTGGCCTCAGCCATTGGAATTGTGTTGCCGCCCGTCCCCCTCCCAGCAGCTGCTCACATGGCCCTTAGTCCACCCACTCTGGCTGTGGAGTAACTCCTGTAGTCTTAGGCCTGACCGAGGGAAGAAGCTTGTGGCCTACGTCACCCCTGCTGTCCGTGTGTTACTACTCACTGTGACGAGAGGGGACACTCCTGATCTGAGAGGGGGCTTTGGGCAGTGGTGCCCTTCACATACTCAGGGTGCCAGGTCTTCTCTTACTTTTTGACCTTTGCTTTTGATTCTTCATGAAATGCCAGATCCAGACATCTATCAGAATTTGATTTTATAATGAAAAACAAACATTTGCAATGATCTTGTAGGCAGAAATGTCATTTTTTACTTGCAATGAAATACATCAAAATAGTGGAGAAATTTAGGAAGGTCCCTGCATTGGTTTTCAGCTTCAATTTCAGTGTCTCCTTCCCAGAAGTGCAGAGGAGGACACAAAGCTTTTTCATTATGTAATTGTTTATGACCTTAGAAGAATTAGTTAACCTCTCAGCCTTGATTTCCTCCACCATAAAAGAAAAACAATTGTATTATGTGAAAACTGAATGAACGTAAAGTGCTTACCAGAGTGACTGGCACAAAGCAAATGCCTGCTTTTTAAAAGATAGATATAAAACATCAAAATGTTTGGTATACTCTCTTACTGTAATTTAGTATAAATTTGAATTCTTTCCTTAGTTTGTTAATTGTACTGCTAAAAACACTGTAAGGTCAACATTAAAATATATAGTGGGATGAATACATTTATTAAAATCTGCAGTGAAGAACAGTGGCGGCTTCCTGTCCCAAGACAAAGGGCTTCTTGGCAAAGTATTTTGAAAACCTTCATCAGCTCCTACACTTACCCAAGTACATCTTATCCTGTGTAGGACATGTCTGGTTCCTGTTTCAGATGGGCCCCTGGAGTCAGGGCTTTCCTCTGCACAGGTGTGGGTCCCCCACCCAGAGAGAGGCAGTGACCTAGCAGGAGACCCGTGGTGGCAATGGGGGACAGTTGGGACGAACCCCACTGAAATGGGGGACAACAGGGACATTATGCCTGGGATAGCCCCCACACCGGGAGCCAGGAGGCCCAAGTTCTTGCTCTACACTCTTTCTTACTGTCCATACAACCTTAAATAAATCACCCAGCCTCCTCATTTTCCAGACCTGAGCATCTTGCAGAGTTGCAGGAGATGCCCCTGAGTCCGTGTGGACCATTGTGAGTGGCAGTGGTGCTGGTCTACCACCAGCCCTGGCAATCTCCTTTTTCAGGGTGTGACTGCGACGAGCACTCAGAGACGTGTCAGTTTGACCCAGCTGTGTTTGCTGCCTGCCAGGGTGCACATGGAGGTGTGTGTAACAACTGCCGGGACCACACTGAGGGCAGGAACTGTGAGCGGTGTCAGCTGCACTACTTCCGGAACTGGCGTCTTGGTGTTCCCATTCAGGAGACCTGTATCCATGAGTCACGGCCCTGGGGACCCAGCGTTTCCTCTGCCCATTGCTCCCCATCCACTCTGGACATGGCAGAGCAATGTTCTTGGGGACATTAGAGCACTTAGGAAAGCTTGGCTGCGTGTCAGGACTTTGGGCCATTTTTAAAACTTGGCTGTGCACTTCTAATCAAACAACCCAACCTCGCTGGACCATTAATCAATCAGTAAATCATTCATTGTGTAGCCCTTATTTTTCACAAAGGAGAGAAAATAGTAAATACATGATACAGTTTTTTCTGTAAGGAAGCACACACACAGTTTGGTTACTTAAACTGTACATGCATGAGAAAATGGGGGAAGTAGTTTATGTATACATATGCCATTGCCTTTACCATTTGATGTGGTTTGCTCCGTATTTTTCTTTCTTCCAACACTGAGAATGCCTCTGTAGTAGGGATTATGTCTTATATCCTCAAGCCCTAGCACAACCACAGGCAAATAGTCGATGCTGCAGGAATATTTATTGAATGAATATGTGGATGTAACACTCAGGGGTGACCTCACAAGTCCACCAGGGCCAGTGGGTTGTATGGGAGAGAACAACGTGAACTGAAGCAATCAGATTCAGGCTGTTTTTTTTTTTTAAATCAGGAAAGACCGAAGTGAAGGAAGAATCTGCATTTAAGCATGAAAAAAATCTGGGTGTGTGGGTGTGAGAGGGCTTCATCAACAGGCTTCATTTCCTGTTGATATGACTTGTTTATGGAAAGGGGGAGAAAGACTTGAGTTTGACTTCAGTTTCTGGCATTGATTAGATGTGTGACCTTGAGTACATGCCTTAACATCTCTGGGCCTTAGTTTCCTCACTGGTACAAGAGGGTAATTTTTCTCACCTTGCAGCGTTCTCATGAGGATTGCATAAGGCAACATGGGACAGTGCTCAGCTGTGTGGCACCTGGTGGTTGTTCAGTAAATAATGACAACAGAAACTTCTATCGGACTTAACATGTGTTCTTAAGTCCTGCTCCACCTGCTTTACATTTACTCATTTCTTCCTTGCAGAAGTCTGTGAGGATGGTATAACTAACCCCATTTTATTGATGAGAAAACAGACATGGAGCGGTTAAGAACCTTGACTAAAGTTGTCAGGTTATAAGACAGTAAGTGGTGGATTAAGGATTTGAACCAGGCAGTCTGGCTTCCTTCAATCTCCTTGTAACTCCCTGCTTTCCTTCTTTATTCCGACTGTGGTGGCCATTTCTCTCAGCCTGTGAGTGTGATCCAGATGGGGCCGTGCTTGGAGCTCCTTGTGATCCAGTGACTGGGCAGCACATGTGCAAGGAGCAGGAGCGCTGTGACCTATGCAAGCCGGGCTTTACGGGGCTCACCCATGCCAACCCAAAGGGCTGCCACCGTGAGTAGGGGGACCCAGCATGGCCCGGCCTGGGAATGGCCCTTGGGGCTACCAGGCTCAAGACTTGCCCTGGTTTCTGGGACGCCACATGCTGTGCCACTGGATTCCAGCAGGTGACAGCACCGGCCTGAGCTTGAAGGCAGGATAGCAAGCCGGTGGAGGAAGGTGGGTGGCTAAGCTGCCAGGGTGGGCCCTGGTGGGAAAGCATGGTGGTCCTGTGAGTCACAGGTTATCTGGAGGGAACGACGCTGCCTGATTCCTTTCCCAGGCTGGGCCCCCGCCCTCATGTTTGTCCTCTAGGGGTGAGTTTTGGTTGTCTGCTGAGAGTTCAGTAGCCCTCCCTCCTACAGACTGTGATTGCAGCATCCTGGGGTCCAGGCAGAACATGCCATGTGATGAGGAGAGTGGGTACTGCTTGTGTCTGCCCCACATGGTGGGCCCCAAATGTGACCAGTGTGCTCCCCACCACTGGGAGCTGGCCAGCAGCCGAGGCTGCGAGCCGTGTGCCTGCGACCCACAGAATGCCCTCAGCCCAACCAGGTGTGAGGTGGGGGTGTTCCCATGGGCCCCTCAGCGGGGGAGGATTGCACCCATCAGCCTCCATCTCCCCTGAACGCGGCCCTGGGCCTCCCCAAAGTCGGGCTGGGCTGCTGCTGTCCTCATTGCCCTTTTGGAAGGCCACCCAGTCTCCCTTCCTCTTTGGCTCAGGGCCTTCTGCAATGCCATATTCATCACATCTTCTGCAGGGTCATTAGGGCCTTTGACTTCAGAGCCTGCCTCTGATGGAAGCCCTTATTTTGGGGGCACACCGGCTCACAGGCAGCTGGTGAATCCTGGGCTCTGTCTGCTGACCAGGGACCTGGGCCACTTCCCCCATACCCAGGCCAGGCCGGGGCTTCCAGGGGGCTCCCTCATGGTGCTGGCCCCCACAGTTCACAGGGCAGTGCCCCTGCCTGGAAGGGTTTCATGGCCTGACATGCAGTGCTGTGGCCATCTGTCAGTGTCCAGACAGGACTTATGGAGATGCAGCTACTGGGTGCTGAGGTGGGTGTCCACTGGGTCAGGGAGTGGGTGCTGAGGCTGTGGGATGAGCTCGGGGCAGGGGGCTTATGGGGCTGTGTTATGGGAGGACTTCTCTATGGCACAGGGGTGCACACCCTGCCACCTGATGTGGCACATGCTCCACTTACTACCCCTGCCAGTTGGCTGGGCCCCAACCCTAGGGCTGGCTGATTAGCCCGCCTGTGTCTTCATGACAGGAGGGCTGCTTTGCTGCCTACATCCTTGAGAAAGCATTTCCCAGAAGCCACCTCTAGGGCCCAGTAGTGGGAGAAGGATGTTTCTTCCTTCTTCATAGATGGAGAAAGTGAGTCCTCAGGGGGAAAGGTGTACTTTCCTCAGAGTCAGATTGACAAGTGGTGACAAGAGCTTGGGGTGTGGAGCCAGCAGACCTGGGTCTGGTCTCACTCAGCCTCCACCTCCCTGGTGACAGGGGTGAGATGCTCCCCTCTTTAGGCCTCAGTTTCTGGAAGGCACATTGTACTTAAGTTCTCTGTGCCTCAGATCCTCTTCTATAAAAATGGGAAAAGAAGGGTGGCTGACTATCACGGTGTGGTTGCGAAAGTCAAATGAGGTTATGTGGGTATGAACATGAGGCACAGAACAGCCCAGTGCAGAGTGGGTACTGAGCAAAGGCTTGCCTTCTCTGCTGTCATTACTGTGATTTTATTCCAGCCTTGACAGTCCATTATTCTAAGTGTGGTAGAAGGAGCTGGAGGTCAGGCCTCCACTTCGGGCTCTCCCACCAGCTGCGCTATCTCCCTGACCCAGCCCTGACCATCATTCTCCCTCACCACCCTGACTGTGACTTCTGGGAAACACAAGGCACAGGCTGTGATAAGGGCTTGGGTCACTGCCTCTGCCGCCCGGGCTTGACTGGACCTCACTGTGACAAGTGTCAGCGAGGCTTCTGCAACCGCTACCCAGCGTGCGTGGCCTGCCATCCTTGCTTCCAGACCTATGATACTGCCCTCCAGGAGTAGGCCAAACATCTCAGTAGTCTCTGCAATGCCAGCACTGGCCTGTGTCCTGGGCCAGCCCTGGACGACCGCAGCCTGGCCTCCCAGATCGTGGATGCAAAGAGCAAGATTGAGCAGATCCAAGCAATCCTTGGCAGCGCTGCAGTCCCGGAGCAGGAGGTGGCCCAGTTGTCCAATGCCATCTTCTCCATTGGGTAGTTCCTTTCTGTGCCATGCAGTTAGAAGAATTAAGCCACATGGGTGCACATAAGGGGCACACTTGTCCTTGCTCCCATTGGTTCAGCCCTTTACAGTTACAAAGCATTTTCATGCTTGTTCTTTTAACAATTGCAAGTCCTGTGAGGTTGCTGTGCTGGTGTTATGACTTTCATTTTGCAGATGAGGAAAAAGGTACAGATGGGTGCTGTGACAGAGCCACATGGCCACTGAGGGGCAGAGCAGGGCCTCAGAGGCCAGGCAGGAGCCCAAGCCCGGCATTCTTTCAAGTCCCCAGCATTGCCTGTAGGAGAGTCAGCTCTGCATTAGTCACCCTGGTGGAGGGCATCTGAGAGGCAGGAGCTCTAAAAATAACTTGCATTTGCCTTTGGATTGGGAGCAGTCCCGCACAGCCCCCGTCCTACTGGCAGAGCCATCTGGTTCATGAGATTTGGTTCTGGAAGCTTCTATAATTACTTTGTATTCCCTGAGCCCTTGCTGAGTATTGGTGCCCAGATCCATCCAGGACTGTGATTGACCTAAGTCTCAAAGTTGAGCAGTGAGTCCATAGGTAGTTGGTAGGCTGGAAATGCAGGTGTGGAAGGATGGTCTTTGGAAGGATGTCCGTGCCCGACCGAGGCCTGGAGGAGGAGAGTGTGAGGCTGTGGAGGGTGCTGGTGGTTGGTCAGGCTGCAGAAGGGATTCAGAGGGAGAACAAAAGCTCAGGGGTCATGGACCAGGGCGGGTGCATGCTGACACCCGTTCCAGTGGGGATGAGCAGTGGGCAGCAGCTCTGGGAGCTCAGTGGGGAGTGGGGGCTGCAGAAGGGAGACCTGGGAGCCTGGTGGGTAGTCCTCCTTCTCCCTGCCCAGGATCCAGTTCATCAGGTGGTGTGTGGCTGAAGGCAGTGTGCAGCCAGCCAAGAGGAGGGCGTCAGGGTGGGCTCCTTGAGGAAGCCAGCTGTGGGGGCGTGGAGGAGAACGGAGTGTCCAGATCACACATCTCAAGGAAGGAGGGGTCTTTATAGATGCCCCCAAACCCTGCAGATGGAGGGAGGTCCTGCCAGCCCTCCCAGCCTTTGTGCTACACAACTCTGTCCGACTGGAGGGCTCTGCATTCTGTTGCCTTGGCTGAAGTCCTTTCTCCTGACTCAGTTCCTCCAAGGGCATGGCTGGTTCTGGGGGGAGAACCCTCTCCTTTCTTCTAATGAAAGCTTGTCTCCCATCCCACGTGGAGTCTCCAGGGCCTGCAGCCCGATCTGACCCTAGAGGAGATCTTGTCCCTCCTGGAAGACCTGGCCAGTGTGGGTAGAAGCTTCAATCATGTCCGCGTTATGTATCAGAGCAAGAGGAAGCAGTTGGAAGAAATCGGCAGGAGGCCTACTGCCGCCATCTATGCCGCACCTCCTCTTTCTCCATTCCCCTGCCGCCAGGCTCATGGTGGCCCAATTCCCGTCCTCTTGCCGCAGGGGCCTTCCAGATACTGACTGCGGCCTACCAGCGGTCACTGCAGGCAGCCCAGCAGGTCTCCAATAGCTCCCGCCTGCTGCTCCAGCTCAGGGGCAGTCGGAGGGAGGCAGAGGGGCAGGCGACACAGGCCGGTGGAGGAGCAGGAGCTATGGGCCCCCAGCTCGAGGCCCTGCAGCTGGAGATGGCTTCCCTGCCTAATCTGACCCCCACCGTCAACAAGGTGACTCCTGGCATGGATTGCCACTGCCTGGAGCCCCTGGCCCAGCTTGTCACACATCAACTGCTGCTACATGTTCCCCACTAGGGAAATTTGAAGGCACCCTACCCCCAACCCATCCAGTTCTTTGGCTCCTCACTCGTGCTTGGCAGTTGCCAAGGAAACAAGTTTCTGGTGCCTGGTTGCCATGGAGAATTCTGGTTCTTTGTCCCCTGAGTGTGGGATGGGTGGTTGTTGAGGAGCCTTCGATACCCTCTCTGATATCCCCCTCTTTCCACAGCTCTGTGGGGGCTCCCAGCTGGCAGCCTGCACCCCAGAAGGGTGCCCTGGAGAGCTGTGTCCCCAAGAAAACATCACAGCCTGTGGCTCCCACTGCATAGGTGCCAGGGCAGGTGGGTCCTTCCAGGTTGCAGGGCAGGTGGCCAAGCAGCTGCAGGGCTTCAATGTCCAGCTCCAGCAGACCAGGCAGATGGTAGGTGCTGCCAAGGTTTGGTGGGCACTACAGCAGAGGGGATAGAGACTCCTGGGCAAGTCAGTCCCATTGTACAGGCAGGAGACCAAAGTCTGAGTTATTAGGTGACTTATCTGAGGCCCCACAGCAAGTGAGAGAGTTTGGGGCCAATGTTTTGGGCTTTTTAAACCTGATTCCACATCATTTCTTCTGGGGCCAAACCAAATTAGTTACAAATGTTTCCCAGGTAGGTCTTGGGGAGCAGGTTCCCCAGAATCCTTGGGGGCAGGTGAGATGTGCTCCTGGGGCCACACCCACTCCTGACCTTTCGAGTGTGTCTGCAGACCAGGGCTGCCGAGGAAGCCGCCCTGCAGGTGCAGTCTGATGGTCAGCGCCTGGAGACCCAGGTGAGCATCAGCCACTCTCAGATGGAGGAAGACCTGAGACGCATGAGGTACCTCATCCAGCAGGTCCGGGACTTCCTCTCCAGTGAGCCTGGCCTCCACGTGCCCTTCAGCTCATGCCTGGCCTGCCTGTCCCTGGTCCTCCCATTCCCTGTCCATGATCCATTCATCAGCCAGCTGCCTCCTGCCCTGGCCTCTGTGCCACCTGGGCCAGGCCCCCACCGTTTGCCTGGATGGCAGCCATGCCCTCTCGTGGTTCTCCTGTCTTTCCTCCTGCTCCCTTGCAGTTGGTTCTCAGCAGAAGAGCCTGACATATCTTGGGGAAGTATGTAAGGGAGATCACATCCCACTCGTGCTCAAAACCATCCCCTGGCTCCCCCTCATTCTGGGAATGCACCCCAGCTCCTCACATGGCCTCTGCTCACCTCCAAGGTGTAAACTACTTCTTCCCATCATTGCTCGCTGACCACCTTTGAATAGGCCAGGACCTTGCCTGCATTGGAGACATTTATTTGCTCTCTGCCTGGAATGTTCTTTCCAAGGCTGCTGGTTCTTGTGCTTGAGGCCTCAGTTTAAGTAATATCTCCCTGGAAAGCCCTGGCCTGACCTCCCCTCCCCTCCCATCCTTTCCCCTTTGCTGTCTGACCTTCTTTGAACTGCTTCCAGCCCATGGTTGTTGAATTCACCCGTCTACACATGTGCTGTTTGTCTCTGAACTAGACTCTACACTCTAAAAGGGGAGGGATGGCCATCTGTCTTGTTCACTGTCACCTGCACCCAGGGTGAGGACAGACTCAGAAAAGCACCCAGCATTGGTGGAAAGAATAAGTGAATCAGATCCCTTCTCTTGCCACCCTGGGGAATGGAAAGATCCCTGGACAGGACAGAGGAAACCTGTGTGACTTTGGGCAAGTCGCTGCTCTCTTTGCCTCATCTGTTGCCTCTGCAAACTAGGATGCGAGTATTTCACACATCTATTCTGAGGATCTAGTAACTGATGTAAAATGTGTTTTGAAAAATCAAAGGTGCATCAGGAATATAAGTTGATATTATTAGATTTCTCAACCCTGCCAGGAAATCTGCTTGGCTGGCAGCCCACCCAGCTCATGTGAGCTGAGGGATTAGTCTAACAACAGTGGCTTTCTTGCTACTGTAGTGATGCTCTTGCTCCAGACAGGCCAAAGCCCCCTCATGAGTGGATGGCAGGTCAGAGACGGGCAGGGTCTGCTTAAGTCCCAGGGCTTGCCTAAAGGCTTGCCTAAAGCCACGCTGGGGTCAGCATCCCAGAGAGCCCCAGAATTGGGGGTGGGGATGGGGTCAGGGTGGGAATTCCGTGGGGATGCAGGGAGGCAGTGCCCGACCCATGTGGCCATCCTAGCATCCTATTCAGTGTCATGTTTCCCTGGTCATGTGCCTGTCTGTCCCATCAGGTTCGAGTTCCATGGGGCAGGGACCAAATCTAATCTGATTTTCAATCTTAGCCATTTGGAGCAGTGGATAATGTCTGCTAAGCCCACCCTGAGACTCGATGCACATTAAAATGAGTGTAACTCAGACCACGCCTGAGGGCACAGCCGAAGTGACACAGAATAAAGGGAGGGCCCAAGCTAGGTAGAGTGTGTTCACTGTGGGAGGCTTTCTGGGGAAGGGGCATGGTAAGCCTTGTTCTGGGTGTAGGGCTCTGCATTAGATGAGAGGTCGATTATCTCTAGGAGGAGGTCCTTGTGCAAATCTGCAGCTGGGGATAAGCCAACTTCATGTACTCAGCCATAATCATGGTTTGGGCCCCTGCAGTTTGCGAATCTGGCTCTGAAGGGACACAGAAATGAATGAGGCATGGCTTCTGCCTTCCAGGAATGTCCTTCCATCTAGCAAGGAGGACACTGGGGCTGGGGCCTGTGTAGGTAGCCAGTGAGGAAACTGTCTGATTGCAAGTAAGATTCTTCACAGGAAGTTGAGTCCAGGGGAAACCTTTGAGGTGGGTGGGTGCCCCCAGGTCAATACCAGTAGAATCTACAGAAGGGAACAGGGTGAAATAGCAGAGAGGATGCTATCTCTGTACTTCTGGCCTTAGTCTCACCCAGAACTGAGTGGTAAAATTTTTGTGAATTCATTGTTTCATTTAATCCTTTCAGGTTGAGAACTATTATTGCCATTTCATAGACCAGGAAACTGAGCCCAGAGAAGCCATTTGACCTGTCCCAGATTGCTTGGATAGTAAAAGGGGCCTGGGTCTGGAGACCTTTCAATCATTCATTTAGTCTACAAATACAGAGTGCCTCTTAGAGTCAGACGCTGTGCTAGGGCCTGGGGATAGAGTCGTGGATGAAACCCAGGTCCTGCCATCATGGAGCTTTGTCCTGGTCGGGTAACAGACAAAACACCAGAAAAATGAGTGTCTTGCCAATGGGTTCACTGTGGATTCAATGTGACCAAAGAAATGACAGTAGAACGTTCTTGGGGTGAAAGGGTTATACCCAACTTTATTTCCACAGTGGCAGGTTGATGACTAAAATCCCATCCACTCAGAGCGAGTCTGCACGCAGCAAACCAGTCTCTGCCTCTGGGCCTCTCTGCCTGCACAGCTCTGCCTGCAGCCTTGCAGCCATGCCACAATGTCGCACAGAGCCCTGGCAGGGCTGTTTTATATAGAGCCAGTAATGATGCATTGCCCACACATGTGTAGTGAGCTAGCCAACCAGGACCAGGTGAGAATCCTGGCCACAGGAACCTTCACTTTACCCACAATGAGTAAAGCATTTGGCATGTGGGAAGTGATACATGCTAGGGGGAAAGATAAAGCAGAGGAGAGGAGGGATGGCCTAGGGTGGAGGTTGCGATTCTAGATCGGTTGGCCAGGGCCAGCCTCTATGAGAAGGTAGTATTTGAGCAGAGACCTGAGAATCTTTATATACCTTTGCAAAAATGACCACTCTGGCCTGAGGAGGGGCCCATGGAAGGGGTCTTACAGCCAAGGAAGCAATTCCAGTTCCTGATGGCTCTCCCCAGCTCAGGGCTGATTATGTTTGTGCTCCAGGTGTTGTTTGGTACCAGCTGCCTGGCATCACCTCCTCTCCCCCACCTACAGCTCCCATGGCATCAGAAACTGAGTTAGCTGTGCTGATGCTCCTCTCCTCCAGTGTTCCCCAAAATTTTCCGGGAATGGGTACCTGAGTGTGCCTGGGATGGAGCAGCCAGGGCAGGGACTGAGCTTCCTGTGGGTGCTGCTCGGCCTGGAGAGGCCCCTGACCTTTGGGGAGGTGGCTGGGCTTCCCCAGTCTAATGGGCTGCTATCTTCCAGACCCTGACACAGACACATCCACCATCCAGGAGGTCAGCGAGGCTGTGCTGGCCCTGTGACTGCCCGCAGACTCTGCCACAGTCCTGAAGATGATGAGTGGGATCCAGGCCATTGCAGCCAGGCTCCCCAACGTGGGCCTGGTGCTGTCCCAGACCAAGCAGGACATCACCCGGGCTTGCAGGCTCCAGGATGAGGCTGAGAAGGCCAGGTATGGCCCTGGGCCCTGAACTCTGTGCTCAGGATTGGGCCTGTGTTTTGCTCCCCAACTCCTCTGCTTGATGGGAGAGAAGCCTCTGCAGGTCGGCGGTTACTGAGGGCTGGGGGACATAAAGGGGGCTCACACAGTGTCCAGGTGAAACATCACACAGTCCTGTCTTCCATATTGGAAACCAGGCCCAAAGGGCGTCTCAGACTTAACACATTTGTTGTGTCTGCTAGGTGGGGTCCTGGGATGAAAATGCCACTGAGTTAATATTCCTTTTGTCGTCTCTGCTGGGAAGGATATTCTAGCCTGGTGAGTGAATTGAGCCACCCAACTATCCATTTGTTATTCACTCCTTCTCTCTCCTCTCTCTCCTGCTCTGTGGCTCCAGGAGCCGACCCCAGGCAGTGGAGGGCCAGGTGGGGAGGTGGTGGGGAACCTGCAGCAGGGCACCGTGGCACTGCAGGAGGCCCAGGACCACCCGCCGTTCCCTTCAGCTTATGCAGGACAGGGTTGCCGAGGTGAGGCTTTATGGCTTCTGTCCCGCATATTTGGGAATGAACAGACAGATTCAGGCCCAAGGCATAGAAAATGCCAGAAAGCGACTTGGATGGCACCTGAACTGGGACCCTAAAGAAGAAAGTTTATAAGCATTGGGACTGGCTTTGAGCTTTTGTTTTTCTGGTCTCAGGGCTGGGTGCAGAAGGCAGGGGCAGGGGCTGAGCTGCAGTAGGGTGGGGGTCAGCTCAGCTTCTGGGGAAGGAGGAGGCCTGGATGCGAGGGTACAGAGGGGATAGGGAAGGGGCAATAGCAATGACCTGGTTGGAGAGAGTTTTGGCTGCCTGATGCGCTGGAGGAAAGGATGACAGCTACTGCTTATGAGACCCACCACAAACCCCCAGCCTCCCTCTTTTCAAAAGGTTCAGCAGGTCCTGGGGCCAGCAGAAAGACTGGTGACCAGCATGAAGGAGCAGCTAGGTGACTTCCAAGCTTAGACGGAGGTGCTCCAGAGCCAGGCAGGGCAGCAGCGAGTGCAAGCAGCCCAGGCCCAGCAGCTCACAGAGGGCGCCAGCCAGCAGGCACTGAGTTCCCAGGAGGTACAGAGAGGGCAGAGGCAGTCCTGGAAGCACAGCGTGTGGGCCTGAGCAGGAGCAGACTTTGTACACTTTATAAGACCATGGGCTCAAAGGCAACTAGAGCAACAGCTGTTCTAGAATAACCGCGTGGCGCTTCAGGATTCACCCAAACGTGGACAAATCCGAAACTACCTCTGGTTGCTTTTGGGGTAGCTCCTTCAAGCATGTTGGAAATTATCTAGTCCAATCCCACTCCTTTTACAGATGAAGTGGTAACTTTGTCAGGCCCATGGGTCTCTTGACACCCAGGCCAAAGCTTGTCCCCTCTCATGGCTACCTAGCCCAGACAGACACTCGCTGCATCACTGTCTTGTCCCGGGCCCATTGGTGTTAGAGTTACATCAGAGAGAAGACCAAAGTGCCATTCCCGATGTCTCCAGCATTTTTAGCAGTTTGCCAGGAACTTTGGCAGTTGTGGTCCCAGCCCAAAGGCCAGGCTGCTATGTATACAATTCAGGGACAACTGTGCCTGGTACTCTGCTGCAAGTGAGGTGTGAAAGGACAGGAGGCGCAGATGGAAGGAGGGAAATACAGGAGTTTAGTTACATTTTGTGGCCTAGGGGTTTTTATAAGCAAAACCAACCCATGCAGAATATAAGGAGGCTTGACCTGCAGGTGGATTTGGGTAATACCACGTGCTTCCACGAAGGTTTTGAGGACTTTGGATGGTGATGATGGCAACACAGAGACTGTCCTATAATTTTCAGGGATTTGAAAGAATAAAAAAATATGCAGAATTGAAGGACCAGTTGGGGCAGAGCCCCATGCTGGGTGAGCAGGGCAGCCGGATCCTGAGTATCAAGACGGAGGCAGAGGAACTGTTTGGGGAGACCACAGAGATGATGGACAGGATGAAAGGTGAGGGGATGGTGCAGGGGCTCAGTCTCCTGGGCACTCCCGAAGGCTGAGCCCAGCCCGGGTCTTCTGTGGCCCCCTCCTGCCGGAGCTCGCAGTGCTGAGGGGGTGAGACCAGTCGGGATTTGCTGAGCACCTGGTGAGGAGGAGGCATAGTGATGGGGCTGGAGGAAGGCAGAGATGTGCGGGAGATTTGCCCTGCCCTGCGGCTTGCATTCCAGAGGCAGACATTGTTCTTACTGTCCACAAGAGGCATTAAGCTGTATTTAACGAGGGGTCTGTGATAGAAACCTAAATAACAAGACCTCTAGGGGTTCAGGTGATGAATAATGTCAGCGAACAGGCGAAGCTGAGACGAGATAAGGTTTGATGTGGGCCTGGCAGGATGCACAGGCCTGGGTGAGGCTGTGAGGAAGAGGAAGGGCATCAAGACGAGGTGGGTGGGAAGGAACAAGGCATGTGGAGGGCAGGGCAGGCGCAACCCGCAGGAGAGGAGGGCTGGGGAGGACAGAACAGGTGGGGGCGAAGCAGTGTGGGGTCACTGTGGCGGGCCCAGGGGACCGCCTCCACATCTGGGGGAGGAGGGCAGACTCTGCCCTGGAGGCAACAGGGTCTTCACCCTGGCAGATGCATAATGAACGTGGCCATCACCAAAGGGTTCTGTGCTTCCTCAGGAAGGACAGTAGGCATTTCTGGCATCCACATTTAATTTCTAAAGACATGATAGTTGGGTCTCTGCACAAGTGTGCCCAGTGAATGCAAGGAACAGAATTTCTCTGGATTTTAGAATAAAACAGACAAAAGATCCATTTGACCAGCCAGGTGGACAGCACAGAGAAGGCTGGCCTGGTGAGCTGGCAGAGAGAAGACACGAGGCTGTGGTCAGCCAGACCTGAAGGGTGAAGCGAGGGGTGCAGACCGAGGGGGAGGGGCCTCGGGGCTGGGTCAGCATGTGCCCTCCTCATGTTTGTGAGTGTTAAGAGGAAGATAGAGAATTTGCTTATCAAACTGTGGATGACAGATGATACAATAGGTAACAGAATCAGTATTCTATGGCAGTGTCAGAAGAACTGAAAGGATATATTCAAAATACAGGATGAAAGTACATAAGGAGAAATATCTCCCACTCTGGCTTCGTTTGGGCTTAACCCTACAGGTACACCTCAGTTGAGGCCTAGCTTCTCAGTGCCTAATGTAGCTGAAAATATGTCATTACTGGTAAGTGATAAGCAAATATGAGTTGTTACTCCCCTGAAAAAGACTCCAGATGCTTGGCTCAGTAGTGCTGTGGGTCAGCAGTACCTTGCTGCTGCCAAAAGAGCAAAAAGATACAAAAAGCAGCCACCAAAATAAGGGGAGAAATGGCTCAGGGATGATATTAAAAATATTTATTAACTATTTGTGTCATGTGCCTGCCAACCAGAAAAGGCTCAGGTTGTAGCATTGGGACAGGCATTTACCTGCTTGTAGGGATTTATCCTTAATTGCAGGATGATCGGAAAGATCTCGCAGAGGGACTTGTGGGAGTGGGGACCAGGGAGTAGGAGAGCAGCTGTTAAATTTCAATATTTTATTCACCCATAGGTCCATAGGGGTGCTGGCTGGCTTAATAATGCCAACCCAGTAACAACCCAGTTATACTTGGCTGATAGGATCCCACCTGTGGGGTGGTGTTCTGTGGTGGCTGCTACATCCTCAGGAGGGACACTGACAAACCTGGACATATCCAGGGAGGATGACCAGGGTGTGGAGGTAGGGAAGGCCTCGATAATTATATCAGACAAAGACTGGCTGAAGGAACTAGGGAGGCTTAACCTGGAGAAGATGCAGCCTCAGGCATTTGAAGGATTGCCACCTGGAAGAGAGAGCAAATATGTTCCCAAACCCTTAGGAGACAGACCTTGACAACTGGGTGGAAGCAAGGAGTGCTCAGATTCTGACTTAATGAGAAGACTTTCCTAACAACTAGAGCTGCCTGAAGGTGGAGCCCTGGGAGGCAGTGCACTCCCTGCTTATTCCTGGAAACGTTAGGGCTGAGGCTGGGAGCTCTCATGAATACAACAGAGGAGACCCCCACCCAGCCTGACAGGAGAGATGGACCGGGCTAGTTCACTTCAGAGTACTTCACATCCTCCCTGCATACTCAGGGGGTGGTACACTGAGGGGAGAATTGCCTGAGAGGCCAAACAGCACTGGAGGTGATTTCTCCTGCAGGGGCTGCCTCTAGGTGGATGGGAAGAGAGGAAATGGTCGGGGGTCTGTGAGTTCCTCACTAGCAGCTCCTCCACCCTGCAGTTCCACCTATCCTCAGATGTGGAGTTGGAGCTGTGTCAGGGGAGCCAGGCCACTTCGCTCAGCAGACCTGTTGGGGCTGGAGAAATATGTGGAGAAGGTTTGCAACCACATCAACAGGCATGTGCTCTACTATGCCACCTGCAAGTGATGCTCCAGCTCCCAGCCCCTGGCCCCACTCACCAGCCGCCTGTGCTTTTGGGGGACAGGCTGGGTTGGAATACTTTCCAGCTCCAGGAGACTTATATGCAGCCCAAAGCACAGCCTGGCCAACCCCTGGTGTGCACCTATTGAGATCATTCTGGGCTGCATCTGAGCCTGAGCTGATGGGACCCAGATGGTGGAGGCGGGCCGTGTCATGTGGGGGTAGCTTAGCTGGGCAGTAGTGTGCTTGCCCTTCATCCTCCACTGAGGCTGAATCCTGGATCCACACAAACTCTTAACATAAAATGATATACAAGTGAAAAGCCCAATAAACATCTGTGGAAAGAAAGAGGGAAAATGGTCTGTCTCCCCATTAAATAAAGCTTCATCACTTGTTTCTGTCTCCCATTTGGGGTTCCTGGGTGCTCCTCTGCCCACGGTCAAGGCTTAGAGCTGTATGAAGCCATAGCCTGCCTCACTCTCAGTCCAGCCTGCTGACCTCCTGAACTTAGGGAGACTGGACCCCTTTGCCCCAGGGCCTGATGCGTCCATCCTTGAGAAACCAGAGGAGCCATTTTCATCTGTCCACAGTGATTCCACTTCTCATTTACAGACGAGGAAGTAGAAGTCCAGGAAAGGAAAGTAACATACCCAAAGTTCACACAGCTTCTTGAGGCAGAGCTCAGACCAGAATCTGTGTCTTCTGGAATCTCAAAGAGAAGTAAAGGAAAGTGTATTTCTGTGTGTATGTGTGTGGGGGGCAGGGGCGCAAATATGGAGAAGGCATGACTGTGTGATAACCATGGCTCAGGCACTCACTGTACTAGGACTTCATTTACTTTAACTTCTTGACTGATAATCATGTTAGTTAGTGAGTGCACTGTGCTGGACACACCGTCTATGTCATCTCAGGATGTCCATGGTGCTGGTGATCCCATGTGACAAGTGGGGAAAGCAAGGCCCTTAGGCTGAGTCACTCCCCCAAGGCCACACATGTGGTAAGGCAGAGCAGAGCTGGGCCTCAGATTCATGTTCATCTAGTACCGTCATTAGGACAAAGGACTCTGAAGCCAACTGCCTGGACTCCAACAGACGCCACCTGAGGGGCTGCCGAGGAGCTGATGCGTCAGCAGGTGTAACTCCTGGCCCTGGGTGCCTGGCCCCATAGGCTTCCAGTCCACATCAGCTGCATAGGCTCAGAAGTCCCTGAACTGCTTTTGCCTTTGAGAACAAAGTGAAGCCTCATAGAGAAAAATATGTGTTATTAAGCACAACACCGAGCATGAGGCTGGAGGGGGCAAGAAAACTGGGAGGGGTAAGGGACAAGAATGATGTGTCTGCTTTTTGTGGAGAGAAGGGAGCAGAAGTGGGATTGGAATTACTGGCTGAAATTAAACCAGTCAACTTCCAGCTTTTACTAGATTGGGTGTGTGTGGAGGGCATCTGGCCAGGATAATAACTCCTTATAGTACCTAGGATTCCTTTCTTTGTCATGTTGGAGGCTGGGTACTGTTTTTGCATGGGGGCAGGGAGGGAAGTGGTTCAGAAGTGTGCTGGCAGGAGTTTGGCCTGGTCTCGGTGCAGTCAGGGGCCTATCCGAGTTCAGCATTTGAGCTTGAGAGCTCACAGACCAGGAGCTGCCTGCCATTCATGCGGATGGGCAGGCGCCGACATTCACGAACCCATTCTTCTGGCCATGATGGAGGCCTGAGAGGCAGGAGTGAGGGTGTGCTGAGCAGGGAGTCTGGGTAGGTGGTCCACATGGCTTTGCTTGGAGAAGGTCACACAGCCTGGCCAGCCTAGGAAGCTTTTCATGATGAACAACACAGGCCTGGCAAGAGCAATCTATGTGCACTGCTCAGAGCCATGGCACGCAGAGTGTGGGGCACAGAGCGGGCAGGTCAGGGGGACCTGGGAGCCTCAGATGCTGCTCCTCCTGTTGGCAGGCGAGGCCTCCATGCTCTGGGGCTCACTCCTGGGTGTTCTGAGAGTGTCTGCTCCAGGTGGCAGGCGTCAGCTGCTTCTGACCAGAAAATGCTCCTGCCCGGCCCTGCTCTGCTTGCTCCCTCTTCCTCCCACTGCAGAGTTGGTGCCAGGTTTGGAGGGGCAGAAAAGAGTGGAACATCTCTCCTGCGAGGCAAAGGGGCTCAGGGTGGGAGTGGGGCTGCTGCCTCTGGCACCCTTAAGACTCCATCTTTCATACTCTGGGATGTGGCTTTCCTTCTTTGGTAGAAGCTCCCCTGACCCTCCCACTGCCAGCCCCTCCTGCCTTTAGACCCCTCACCTGAAAACTGCAGGATGAGTCGGGGATCACATAAGGAGACAGACTCCAGTTTGCCCTGCCCAGCAGTGGGGACTGCTGCTGGCTTTGACTGGCACCACGACCTCTGATTTGTAGTTGCTGCTAAGGAAATGAAGCAGCAGGCATGAGAACTGGAGGAAGGAAGAGGGGCTGGGATGCTCCTCTGTGACTGTGGCATCCATTCAGCACCCCCATTAGGAGGCTTTGCATGTACAAGCCCTTACAGTAAAGAAAATACAACCATCAAGCACCCTTCCTCCTCCCCAAACATGGACACCCTGGAAACTCAAAGAGCCTAAGAGTCATCACTCACATGTACCTGGTGTTCTGTGTGCACTTATAATCCCTGTTGCTTACTAAACCTTTATAGAATCTCTTGAGGCAGGATAGGTAGATAAATGTAATTTGATTAACCCATTTTACAGATGAGCTAACTAGAAACAGAAACATTGACTGACTTGACTGTCAATGGCTGCAGAGCTAGTGAGCAGCACGGACAGGCCTGGAAGCAGTTCCCCTGACCTCCATCCAGAGCTTTTCCCATAGAGCTGCCTCTACTCTGCTCAATTCCTTTCAGCCCCACTGCCTGAGGTCTCTCACACCCAGGCTGAGCAGGGCCAGGCCTCTGTCTTTGGCTGTAAATACTTATTTGTTAGCCTTTTTGAGGAGTGTGGGCTCAGAGCAGTGGGAGGACTTCCCTTTTCTCCCGATGCTCAGGCAGCTGGAGCAGCAGCCACAGGGCCCAGCAGTCAGGGGCCCCTGCTGCATGGGCACCAGGCTGTGGCTGATGCACAGGGAGCCACTTACCAGGCATTTGAGGGACCTGCCACCAGCAGTGCTGGGCTGGGGGCTGTGCTGGCAGGGCAGCCAGGACAGGGCAGGGAGCCCCAAGCTCTGCTCCAGTGAGGGTGATCACAGGGGAGCTGGGGCTGGAGGCTTCTGAGTCTTGCATGACAGGTGACCTGTTCTCCACCCCTGGGCTGTGCAGGTTCATGTGCAGCTTCCTCATGAGATGCACCACAGCTGCTGCATTGAAGGCTTGCTGAAGAGACACAAGACCAACCCCTGACTTTCTCCTGCATCAGAGGCCACAGGGCTCAAGGTTTCCCCTTGGCTGTGCCCTCCAGAAATCTCTGTGTTTAATTCTCATCTTAGAGAAGGCCAAGGTATCTCCAGTGTCTGCTGGGAAGCCCCAAGGAAGCCCCTACACCAGCCCTTGCCCCAGCCCAGCCTCCAGCATCCCAGAACATCATGCCCACCTCCTAGAGAGGACTACTTACCCTCCACTTGCTCTTGGCAAAGTTCTTCTGGATCTGGAGGCTGACGGATGGGTAGATGTCTCGGTGGAGGGCTGTGTTCCTGTCAATCCTATGGATGCACAGCAGATGCCTGGCTAGTGGGTACCTGTGGGAGCCGTGGGTTGGCCTGGGGGCTGTGAAAGCAGACTGAGGTTAAGCTGAGTGGAGTGCCCCAGAAGAGTGGTCCACAGAAGGAAAGGGCTAGAACCAGGGCTCCACTGTCTCCTTGGGCTGGTCAGAGGGGGCCTATGATTTGGCAAAACCAAAGACTTGCTTAGAGCAGGGTCAGCAAACTATAGCCTGTGGCCAAATCTGCCCATTGCTTGTGTAAATAATGTCTTCTTGGGACACATGCCCATTCATTCAGGAATGGGCTATGGCTGCTTCTGTTCTTCCAACTACAGCTGAGTAGTTGCCATAGAGAGGGTATGGCTAACAAAACCTGAAATACACACTATCTGGCTTTTTACAGAATATATCTGCTTTGCTCAAAACCCACCTACTCCAGGAAGCCTTCCTGAATGAGGCCCCAGATACAGGCTGCCTTTTCCTGTACCCTCAGACTCTTATTCACTCATCTCAAAGTGTTTCCCAGACCCTCCCCATGTGCACACTACTTTCTAGGTACTACCTGTAGTGCTACCCAGAGAAGTAACAGAATAGCCCTAATCCACATGGGATTTCAGAGTAGGTATTCAGCCATGTTGCTTGCCTTGAACTAGAGTAAGACATTGAACACTGTAAGACCTGTGATTAATAGAGAGAGATGGGGAGGCCTGCCTGCACTGCAGGAGAGCCAGGGCATCACACAAGGGCAGAGGCTGCTCGGGATCCTGAAGGATGCTACATACAA